TGTCAATCTGATCAAAAGACGTGTTCAATGGCATTAAAACGAGAAAGAAAAAACGCGGATGAATCGGTTGATCCATAGGTTGATAATGTAACTGTGGCTTTGAAGCAATTGTTTATAATCCATAATTCCATTTTTATGTAAAAATCTGATCACAAAAGTTAGCTGCTAATGGTAGCCACCTTGGTGGTATGCAGCTTCCGGTTTTGGCTACGCGTCGTCACTCTCACTCCTTATTTGTTCATGTGTTGGTGTGTGTAGAACTTCCCCTGATATTTGACCTTTTTAGACAGATTTAGCACAAAAAAAACCCTCTTTTGGGGCCATTTGGGTGGATTTTCCATATCTCTGGCCCACCTTGCTGGATTTTGACATGTGACATCTCTTTCTGACCGTCAGAGCCAATGGAATCGAGGGGAAATCACACAGTCCTTATTTGGTAATGTGTGTGTGAGAGACTTCCGCATAGCCAAGACCGGAAGCAGCAGCCACTCTGGTAGCTACCGTTAGTAGCTAACTTTTGCTCTGCGATATTTACATAAAAATGGAATTATGGATTATAAATTAAATCATTTTTTTATACAGAGATGTTAAAAACCTATGGATTAACCGATTCAGCCGCGTTTTTTCTTTCTCGTTTTAATGCCATTGAACACGTCTTTTGATCAGATTGACAGCTACGGTGAGACATCTCCCCTCGAAGCTACGTAAAGGTACGTGTTGTGATGTCTGTGTTTTGCTTCCCCTGTCCGAGTTCAGATCACTCAGTGATGATACTATATACCTAAATAATCCGTGGAACCTCAGCTTTAATCGGATATCTTGTAAGTGCAGCTACGATAAGTAATAATAAGGGTACTTTTATCTTGAGTTCTGTGCCAAAGTGCGTTAGCATTTTTCGCTCAGGGGTCATTTAGATGCTTCTTATGAGACTTGTGTTTTGTTTTGGTATACAATTGTTTGTATCGTCAGTTAGCTGAGATTATTTCCATTAATCTGGTATAACACATTAATAGGTTCTTAAATATTACGATCCCCTGAGACACTGTCGTGAAAAAAAAAAGTAAAGTACCCGCCGGGACTTTGGGGTTTAACAGGTTAAAAAAAACGCAGTATATACCGCAGGGGGGGAAAAAACCGCGATGTCAGTTTTTTTCAATACCGTGCAGCCCTAACGTACACTATGCTTATGTATAACTGGCAGCAATTGTCATCTTACAATGGCAAAGAGTTCACATGAGACTACATGATCCTAGATGAGGCACACAAGATAAAATCCTCAACTACAGCCAAAAGTGCCTACGCCAGTCCTTCAAAAAACAGAGTTCTCCTAACTGGCACTCCAGTCCAAACAACCTCAAGGTTCAAGGTTCTTTATTGTCAAACTAACATAGCTACAGAGTATTTATGTCGTTGAAAATCTTAGGTCACAGGCTTCTCCAACAATGCAACACAATACAATACAGATAAGCAGACAATATTAAGTGGAATAGTGCAATACGAGTCTATATACAAGTTATTGGAATGATATATTAGATAATAGATAAATAGTTACCTGAAGGAATTGTGGGCTCTCTTTGACTCTTAGGCACAGCTAAAACCTTCAAAAAGGAGTACGAGAACCCAATCAGTTCCTTTCACTTGACCACATCAAGGAGCAGCTCACAACCAGATCACCTCTAACTGAACTGAACATAATGAAAAAGTTGTGCGACCATCCAAGCCTGCTCTCTGCTGCAGCCATAGCCAAGTTAGGCTTAGAAGAAAGTAAAGCTCAAGGTCTCTGGAAAGTATACACAGAGTTCTAAATAATACAATTAACAGATATACATGTATCCAAGGTGGCGAACCGGTTTTTCTTTGTAAATTAATATATACAAATATAACCATTAATTTACACTTAGAAAACAAACAATACAATTTATAGTTACAAAACACAAAAAGAATACCCACATACCTGTGCAAAACAGAATATAATTAAAGCAGGAAATGGCTTTATCAGCTTTCTAACTTCACACCTTCAGTGGAAGAAAACACCCACATGTTAGGTTAGCATAGCATAGCTAAACTTTAGAAAGCTCACAAACACTGTTTGAAGCGCTACACATATAAACTACAGTTACATACGGCAAAATATAGACATTAACTGCAAACAAGTTTGGATTGTGTGAAGTGTAACATTAAACAATCTATTAACATATCAAATACAACATTTATGACACTACTCGTTCCACTTACTTCTCCTCAGGGGGGCCTGAGGCTAGCGCGAGTCTGCAGAAATTTGCCGGTGCCAAGAGAACAAAAATAAAACGTACTTTTCAAAATAAAAGCATCTAAAAAATAAAGTGACAGTGACAAGTTTTACAAACAAAGTATGGACAAAAATGATTTTACTGAAATATAAACAAGTGAAGTTATACATCGGTTACATCTGCTCATTACAGGAAAGTGCTCGACATCATCGAGCACATCCTGGGCAACAGAGGATTCAAAGTATTGAGATTGGATGGCACAATAATTCAGCTTGCAGAGAGAGGATAATCACTAAGTTCCAGACAGACAAAAGCTACTCTGTCTTCCTCCTGAAATGAAACAGGATTGATTGGAAGAATTTAAAACAACGTAAATACAGTGGTATAATTCAAAACATTTAATAAACATAATTGTTATATTAAAACCCTCTACAAAAAGCCCTCAGGCAACAAACCACTTTTTTCGACCTCACACTGGCCCTCTAAATATTTTTAATTTTTTTAAATATACACAATGTCACCTGACATGTTGGTGTCCAATAAAATGAGGAAATTATATGGGTGTGGCATTTTGTCTGGGGGTGGAGCAGTCCTTTCTGCAAGCAAAGCTGCAGGGGACTCAGGGCCACAACTTGGTAAGATACATTTCACTTTTTAACATATTAGAAATGTACACAACTTAAAATAAAATATACATGCATGTGCATGAATACGTAAAGAACTATATTTGATTGTTTAAAGACTTATTATGTATTTATCAATTAGATAAAACTATGTTTTTTTGTTGTGCACTTAGACCACTTTTTTCCAGGCAATATCATACAAGTGTGCTCAGCTGTAAAATGATAAACCTAATCAATGTTTTTACCTCTACTGATATTTACAGGAAATGGACACCAAAACATGTTATGGGCAGAAGGGACACGATCAGGCTGTTAGGGCTATTCCGTCTGACAGTGAGGACAGTGAAGGTCAATATAGGGTTAGGCACACAGACACACACACATAGACACACACACACATACACACACACACACACACAGACAAACACATACACACACACACACAGACACACACACATACACACAGACAACACACACACACAGACACACACACACACACACACACACAACACACACACAGAGAGACATACACATACAAACACAGACAGACAAACACACACACACAGACACACACACATACACACACACAAACACATACACACAGACAAACACATACACACAGACACACACACACACACACAGACAAACACATACACACACAGACACACACACAGACAGACACAGAAACACATACAGACACACACACATACACACACACAAACACATACACACATACAAACACATACACACAGACACACACACACACACACACACAGACACACACACACCCACACAGAGAGACACACACATACAAACACATACACACACAGACACACACATAGACATACACACACACACACAAACACATACACACACACACGCACTGACACACACAGACACACACAGAGACATACAAACACATACACACAGAAACACACATACACAGACACACACGTACACACAGACACGCACATACACACACAGACAAACACATACATACAAACAAACACACACAGACACACACCCACACACACACACACACACAGAGAGACACACACATACAAACACATACACACAGACACACACAAGCACACACACAGAGACACGCACACACACACACAGAGACATTCAAACACATACACACAGACACACACACAGACACACACACACGCAGACACACACAGACATGCACATACACACACACACTCACACACACACACACACACACGCACACACACACACACACACACACACACACACACACACACACACACACACACACACACACACACACAGAAAACCTTTTGAATTAATATAGAGTTGTTTTTCTATTTCTTCTGAATTGTAGAAATCCTTGGTGTTTCAATACCCTCGTAGCACAGTGTTGCCCTGAGGCAACAAACCAACCCCTGGTTGAGGGGTGAGGGGGGGTCACATTTTATAATTGATATAATATCATGGACCCCTAAGCTCCTAAAACACATGGTGAAACATTTTTTTTCCTCCCAAAATAAAAAGTCATGCCATAGAGGGTTACAAAATTATTATTATTATAAGAGTACTCATAATAATATGTATTATAATAATGAAATATATAATTATTAAATGATTATTATTATTTATATTATTTATTATTTATTTTATTTTATCATGTATTTTATTATTTATTTGCTTTTATTTTGATTTGATTTCTTCACGCTATATTCATGTTATGCACTATTACACCAAAGAAAAGGAAAGTGTTTTTTTTCTATTTTCTATTAATATTATTATGAAACTGTTGGTGACTTTATTTTGTATTTGATTTTAATGATATTTTTATATGAATATTCTATTGAAATATAAGCCTTTTTTTAATTGAAAAGTCTAGTTTCAATGCTTTCCTATGTGACCCAGAAACTCCAATTAATGAAATCAATGCAGCATTGAGTTTCAATCCTATGGTTTCAATACACTAACCAAGTAGAACAACAAACCTCTTTTTATTGACTTTTTCTCATTTATATGAATATCTTTAGACATATTTAACTTTTTCTATATTGAAACTCTAATTTCTTTTATGATATCAAATATTTAGTTTGTTCCCCAGGGGGCTGGCCTCTGTCCTCTCCCTGGTCACCGCCCCTTCCTCCCGGCAGACGCTTTTCAAACCCCGCTATATCCAGTCCATGGATGAAGCGAGTTCAGAAAGCCAGCTCCACTCTGAGCTCTTTTCTGGGGATAAAACGACCGAAACAAGCCTCAAAAACCCGGCGCCATCTTTAAACTAACGGCTGGTTTATCATATCTTCCTGGAGAGGATTATAACCGCGATTAAACAGGAACAATGTTGTAAAAGGTATTTTAAAAAACGCGTTTAAAGTCAGCAAAAATCTGCAACAAATCTGTTGGAAAAGGAGCCAACTGTCGTCCAACTTCTGAGACTGTGGTGAGTGTTTTTATTTCACTTTAAAATGTTTTTTCATGGTTTTAATTAAAACATTTAGGGTGATTTTGGAGCGAGACCTAACCGTTTCCTCCCAAATTAGCCGCGTTAGCATAGCATCACTTTCAATGGAAATCCTCATTCACTTTTGTATACCTGTTAACAAGACAATAACTGACTTTAAATATAGTTAAACTGCACTCCACTCCACTTCAGGCATTTATAAGTGTTCCCAAAAAGACACATTTAGTAATATTATATAAATAAACCTCAATTTAATTTAATTATTTAATTTATTAATATATATTCATTTTACTAAGTTTTTTTTATTTCTCTTGTATATTTATACTTGGTGTAAATACTTGTCCTTATTTTAATTTTTTTATGTTAAATCTTTTATAATCAGTATATTTTGTACCTTCCCTTAAAACGTATTTTCTTATGTTGTTTTTATCTTTGCACCACCATACACAAAAGCAGATTATTGTTATGTGTAAACCTGGCAATGAACTGGATTCTGATTCTGATAACTGGTCATTTTTAACTTAAATTTGGTCTTTCTTGACGTTTTTAAATACACTTTTCCTGTTAACATTATCAACAGCTGTCTTGTAAATCCCTAAACGTTTTTATAAATGACATGTGGCATTGACATTTTTTTATTTTACACTTATAGACATTTTTTCTCAGATGCAAAAGTAATCCCTGGAATTTCATCAAAAACATTTTTTTTACGGTTTGAATTTGACTTTATTCTACTCGAAAAAGGACTCGAAACAATAAATAGTTAAATGTAATCTTAATAGTTTTGATATATTAATATTTTCAGCCCTGCAGGAAACTTCCTTTTGTCCCAAAGTCATCATCTCCTATCTCCAAAATGTTAAGAACTCTTTGCAAAATGCTTGTCCTTGACCAAAACAAACAAAAAAGCTTCATCTGTAATCATCATGCCAAGTACTCTAAATGCATTTCTGATATATGTTGCTGTTCTTTGCAAAGGCACACTATAAAACAAGTGTATTAACTTATTTGTGCATTTTTACAAATAAACTGATGCAATCTAGATGATGTCTGCAGTTATTTACCCATGCATGTTTCACTGGGTGGTTGTTTGAGAAAAAAGTTTTTATTTTACCATATTGACATCTGTTGGAGATAATTAGCAGTGTCTGTGTGAGGGATTAACCTCCTTATAGTGACCTCTACTCGAGTGGCTCTTGGGCTGCAGCAGCTGTGAAACTTTTTTATTAAAAATATCCTTTTAATAAGATCAGGTCAGTAGTGAAATTTAAAAAAAATCATAATACTTATTTTGCCTGCATTTGTTTGTATGTTTTTGACCTGTGTTTTATAGAATCTGCCATGCAGCTGAGCGGTGATGTTCTCACTTTTCATCGGCCTCTCAGACGTGCAGATGCAGAATACTGATGCGGTTTTTGTCTCTATTGTTGACGGTGAATGGGAACTCCAAGTGTGTGTGTGTGTGTGTGTGTGTGTGTGTGTGTGTGTGGTGTGTGTGTGTGTGTGTGTGTGTGTGTGTGTGTGTGTGTGTGTGTGTGTGTGTGTGTGTGTGTGTGTGTGTGTGTGTGTGTGTGTGTGTGTGTGTGTGTGTGGGGGGGGGGAGACACCTGGCTTAGAGCAGCTGGAGAAGCACGGTCAGGACTCTTTTGTGGAGACATTTCTACAGACACTACTGAAAAGATCAACTCATGATATATACCCGCAGATCCTTATGAAAGTCCTAAAACGTCCTGAATTCATTGAGCAAAATATAAGGCCTTAATGGCATTAAAATGTCACAAATCTATCTTTTATAAGTGTTAAAATAAAATGACAGGTGTTCTAGTTTGTTCAGCTTTGCACCATTTACCGGTAACGTTACATTCATTAAGCTTCAGGTGGTTGACCAGTTGTGGGGAATGTCATTGCTTGAATAAGTCAGACTTCATCTTTTCTTTTGATAATGTCTTTCATTCATCTTTATATACATGGCTTTAATATTTCTTTTTGATTTCAAACTTGTTTTTGGTGCCACAAAAGGGCCTTAATTACTCCCCGGTAAATGGTCCGTACAGTTTTCAATAGCAGCTCTGAGGGTTAGGGCAGTTATTTCGCCCCATTTCTGAGATTAAAGTCAGAATGTTGAGAATAAAAGGCAGAATCTGAAGTCACTTTTGGTCAGATCTCAATTTTTTCTTTTCACATGTGGCCCTAATCCTCTTCCGTACAGCGATGATGCATCTGAATATTATTTAATAACCCTGCCCCTGTAACTGATGCTGTCAGATAGGAAATATTTGGCTCAAGGATTTTTATTTATTTATTGTAACCTTCTTTATTAATTCCTGGCGGCTTTTTTAGTTCAGTGTCGCTCTGCTGTCTTTGACCTTCGTCTTTATCATCAGTCTGGAGTATTTAAAGGAGCATTTAGTCCCAAAACGTCCGCTTCTTATCAGTTTATCATCTTTAACTTAAAGGTCCCATATCATGGCCATTTCTACTGATCATAATTCCATTGTTGAGGTCTACTAGAATAGATTTACATTGTTCAATGTTCCAAACTCACATTGGTTTCTCATCCAGCATCTCTGTATAGTATGTGTATTCACTCTCTGTCCTACACGCCTTGTTGGAGCTCCCCCCCCCCCCCTCCCTATGAGCCCACTGTGCTCTGATGTGTGATTATGTGTTACAATGGCATTTCTTAGCAACCAGAAAAGGACACCAGTAATGACAAACAGATGAGAATGCTGCGTGGGGTCTGGGTGCCGTGTTGGCGGGACGTTGCGGGGCTCGCTGCTGTGAGGAGCGGACAGTGTGAGCTCTATTACTGGTGTCGTTTCCTGGTTGCTGCGTGGGGTCTGCGAGACTCAGCCTGAGCACACACACGTGAGTGTGTGGCGAACTGTGAGTGAAGATCCACAGAGCCGAGGCTGTGAAAAGATATGGTGTGTGCCGGCGAAACTCCGGAGTAGAGCGGCTGAGAAAATGTGTGTGGAGCTCCACGGATTGGTCCATTTGGACCTGGGTATGGTCACGTCACTATACTGAGGAAGAAAAAAATGGAAAAAGAGAAATGTCCAACGAGGCGTTCTGGGGCAGCATAGACAGGTATTTTCTGTGTTAGAGTTTTACTCGCTACAGGGTGTACTTTGAGGGTTTGTGACTGCAGACCGTTTACATGCAGAACAACCTTCATAACACACAAGGGGACGGGTAATAACCAGAAAAGCATGACATGGGCCCTTTAAGAATCTCCTCCTAGTCTCTTTACACCCTTCCTTTTTAAGTTAATATAAATATTTTTCTTATTTGAAGAGTTGCCTTCCAGAATGTTTATATATTCTATAGTAAAGAAATCAAAAATATACTCTATATATACAAATTATAATAATAATATTACAAAATTAAAACAAATCATAATAATAGTTGAGTAGAGAATACAAAATAAAAATAAGGAAACATTTTGTAAAATAAAATATATTGATTTATTCTTTTAATACAGAACTGAAATCAGTGCTGAGGGATAAATCAATATTATAATGATAATTTTTCTAGTTAGATTTTGTAAATCATTATATAAGATATTAGTCTTTTCCCTGGTTTTAAAGACAGCATTTAAGAAATAACCACCAAATTAATCAATACATCCACATTACTGATGATTATTAATCACAAATCTCAGTGTAACCCATATGAAATATAGGGCTACTAGACCCCTTTATGTCATTGAGATGTATGAATACACCCATGGTAATGAGTGGCGCGAATCACTCCGCCTCTCTCTTTTCCCCTGTGAACACCCTGAAGACGCAGAGACATAAGTCAAGCAGCTCCTAGTATAGTGTGTATAATAGCATTTTAAAAAAGTGTGTATTTGTACTCTTAATTATATTAGTTAACAAACTCTAACCTGCAAGAACACCTGTGTGAATTTGAACTAGAAGACGGCAGCCAGTGTCGTCTTATAAGTGTGGAAACTCCGTTGTTGGAAGCGGTGTGGCCTACCGTTGGACCTGCCTACTGAGGACGTTGATTTGAAGAATCCTGCTGAATTCACACTGATTTCCAGATAAGATCCAGTACACTATTAGCTCTACCCGGGTAGAAAAGCCATAGCGCACGCACGCGCGCGCACACACGACAATTTTTATTTGTGTGTTCAAGAGCTCTATTTTTTATTTTCATTCATTTTCATATTGTTGGCACTATTGAATGTAAATGTTGTTGAACATTGCTGGCAATAAAATTGTAAAATCTTCAACTAAAATCTAACTCTTCCCAGAGTTATTCACGGCACCACTATTCGAACCTAGGTAGATGTTGGTGCATCTGTTCTTGGTGTGAGATAGGACTAGAGGTGCTACATCAGTATTACTATTTGTGTTATTGATCCAATATTAAACCCTACTGTACAATAACAAGGTTTTTGCTCCAATATATCATGTTATTTTCTCCATATAGCCTAGCCCTAACTAAAATGTCTTTTAAACTACATCAAACTGTGTACGGTTAAAGGTGAATTTGCATACCACTTGTGCCAAATATAGACCTGATGATCCCATATAAAGTCGGTAAAGGAGAGTCATGCTCAGCTTGACTTCTGTCAGTCTCTCTGGTGGTGTAAGAGTTTTAATGGGATTATCCAAAGCCTGCACCACGGCTCTGAGTCTGGAGCTCAGTGTCCAGCAGAGTTTACAGAGGAGCTGTTAGCATCACAGACTGAGAGATAGATGTTTCCACGCTCTCTGTGAGTATATCTAACACTGATAGGATAGAGGTGATTGATTCATGTAAGAAATTAGATTTGTTTGTCTGCTAACATCGATAGATTTGTTTGTCTGCTAACATCGATTCCCTTCCAAAAATGGCTCCTCAAAAGCAGCTTTTTTCTTTTTACTGATGGACAGTTAACCTACTCACAAAGTCAAGATTGATTGTGTAATTTGTGTTGAAAATCACACAAAATACCAGTTTTATAAACTATTTTGTGTGAAATTCGTTTTTTAGATAGGCAAGTTTGCTGCTAGCCTAAGCTGAGATGTTTTATTCATGCAACAGGGAATACATGGTTTCCATCTGGTCTCCCATTAATGCATGGACCTTGTTCAATATGACTACGTTGATTTAAAAAAAAAAAAAAAGTATATTTTTTACATGCTATTTTGTTTGGCAATTTAAATGGGAAATGGGATTTCATTAAAGGTGTTCTATTCTGCAAAATCCACTTCTTCATGTCTCTCTACATCAACATGTGTCCCCTCTTCTTCATGTCTCTTCTACATCAACATGTTTCCCCTCTTCTTCATGTCTCTTCTACATCAACATGTGTCCCCTCTTCTTCATGTCTCCTCTACATCAACATGTGTCCCCTCTTCTTCATGTCTGTTCTACATCAACATGTGTCCCCTCTTCTTCATGTCTCCTCTACATCAACATGTGTCCCCTCTTCTTCATGTCTCTTCTACATCAACATGTTTCCCCTCTTCTTCATGTCTCTTCTACATCAACATGTTTCCCCTCTTCCTCATGTCTCTTCTACATCAACATGTGTCCCCTCTTCTTCATGTCTCCTCTACATCAACATGTGTCCCCTCTTCTTCATGTCTCTTCTACATCAACATGTGTCCCCTCTTCTTCATGTCTCTTCTACATCAACATGTGTCCCCTCTTCTTCATGTCTCTTCTACATCAACATGTGTCCCCTCTTCTTCATGTCTCCTCTACATCAACATGTGTCCCCTCTTCTTCATGTCTCTTCTACATCATGTGTCCCCTCTTCTTCATGTCTCTTCTACATCAACATGTGTCCCTTCTTCTTCATGTCTCTTCTACATCATGTGTCCCCTCTTCTTCATGTCTCTTCTACATCAACATGTGTCCCCTCTTCTTCATGTCTCTTGTACATCAACATGTGTCCCCTCTTCTTCATGTCTCTTCTACATCAACATGTGTCCCCTCTTCTTCATGTCTCCTCTACATCAACATGTGTCCCCTCTTCTTCATGTCTGTTCTACATCAACATGTGTCCCCTCTTCTTCATGTCTCTTCTACATCAACATGTGTCCCCTCTTCTTCATGTCTGTTCTACATCAACATGTGTCCCCTCTTCTTCATGTCTCCTCTACATCAACATGTGTCCCCTCTTCTTCATGTCTCTTCTACATCAACATGTGTCCCCTCTTCTTCATGTCTCCTCTACATCAACATGTGTCCCCTCTTCTTCATGTCTCTTCTACATCAACATGTGTCCCCTCTTCTTCATGTCTCTTCTACATCAACATGTGTCCCCTCTTCTTCATGTCTCTTCTACATCAACATGTGTCCCCTCTTCTTCATGTCTGTTCTACATCAACATGTGTCCCCTCTTCTTCATGTCTCTTCTATATCAACATGTGTCCCCTCTTCTTCATGTCTCTCTACATCAACATGTGTCCCCTCTTCTTCATGTCTCTTCTACATCAACATGTGTCCCCTCTTCTTCATGTCTCTTCTACATCAACATGTGTCCCCTCTTCTTCATGTCTCTTCTACATCAACATGTGTCCCCTCTTCTTCATGTCTCTTCTACATCAACATGTGTCCCCTCTTCTTCATGTCTCTTCTACATCAACATGTGTCCCCTCTTCTTCATGTCTCCTCTACATCAACATGTGTCCCCTGTTCTTCATGTCTCTTCTACATCAACATGTGTCCCCTCTTCTTCATGTCTCTTCTACATCAACATGTGTCCCCTCTTCTTCATGTCTCTTCTACATCAACATGTGTCCCCTCTTCTTCATGTCTCTTCTACATCAACATGTGTCCCCCTCTTCTTCATGTCTCTTCTACATCAAACATGTGTCCCCTCTTCTTCATGTCTCTTCTACATCAACATGTGTCCCCTCTTCTTCATGTCTCTTCTACATCAACATGTGTCCCCTCTTCTTCATGTCTCTTCTACATCAACATGTGTCCCCTCTTCTTCATGTCTCTTCTACATCAACATGTGTCCCCTCTTCTTCATGTCTCTTCTACATCAACATGTGTCCCCTCTGTGGAAAGAGACTCTGAAAGTTTCAGGAACAAAGATTCTCTCTCTTTTTTTATCCATTTCTATAAAAACCTGTCTGAAAATGAGCTGATCAGATTTTGGCCACTTTATGTCATAACGATGTGTTGTCTTGTGTAACCATTAGCCAATCAGCAACCAAGGTAACCCCCCCCCCCCCCCCCCCCCCCACCTTAGCACCTGAATCTCCTCCTAGAGCACCATTGAGTTCTTTGTAACCAAATGTCTCAGAGGGGCGTGGGGAGGGGCTCCTTATTTTCATCTAAAGTAACAGACAGAGAATCAGCACTTTGGAAACAGGGTGAAACAGAGGGGATTATGGGTAATGCTACAATGATCTGTTTGGTGTTTGGAGCCAAACGCTTCAGAGACATGTTTTGTATATATCTGATAATATATTGATGAAAAACAGTATAATAGGGGACCTTTAAGGCTAGTTTGTAGCAAGCATAAGCCAGGCAATTTTGTTTAGATAACCGGTATCAATTAATATTTTGTATGCTTTGTTCTTCTGTTGTTCTGGCTCATCCCTCTGGATACACAGATCAGCTGAAATGTGATATAAAGCGTGATTAATAACCAGAATGTTCCTGCTTCTCTCTCAGGGCAGGCTTCTGTCCTGTGGGATGGATGAGGTCCAGGAGCAGGATGAGTATGAGGAGCGTCTGAAGGAGGTGTTTCACAGTTTCGATGCGAGCGGCTGTGGTTCTCTGAATCCGGAGGAACTTTCTGACCTGTGCTGCTCTCTGCAGCTGGAGGAAGCTGTGCTGCATTCACTGCTGCAGAGACCCCAGCAACACACCGACAGGGTCAGTTCGCTCCTCTGATAAGTGTTGTTGTTTTATTCCTACAGGAAGAGCTGCTACTACAGTTTCCACCTTGTTTAAAGAGTCCCCTCCTGCTGATGTTCAGGTGTATATCAGTATGTATAGTGTCTCTACTTTAAAGAGTCCTCTCCTGCTGATGTTCAGGTGTATATCAGTATTTAGTGTCTCTACTTTAAAGAGTCCTCTCCTGCTGATGTTCAGGTGTATATCAGTATGTAGTGTCTCTACTTTAAAGAGTCCTCTCCTGCTGATGTTCAGGTGTATATCAGTATGTAGTGTCTCTACTTTAAAGAGTCCTCTCCTGCTGATGTTCAGGTGTATATCAGTATGTAGTGTCTCTACTTTAAAGAGTCCTCTCCTGCTGATGTCCAGGTGTATATCAGTATGTAGTGTCTCTACTTTAAAGAGTCCTCTCCTGCTGATGTTCAGGTGTATATCAGTATGTAGTGTCTCTACTTTAAAGAGTCCTCTCCTGCTGATGTTCAGGTGTATATCAGTATGTAGTGTCTCTACTTTAAAGAGTCCTCTCCTGCTGATGTTCAGGTGTATATCAGTATGTAGTGTCTCTACTTTAAAGAGTCCTCTCCTGCTGATGTTCAGGTGTATATCAGTATGTAGTGTCTCTACTTTAAAGAGTCCTCTCCTGCGTGCGTGTGTGTGCGCGCGTGTGTGTGTGTGTGTGTGTGTGTGTACACGCGTGTGTCGGCCTTCATGCACAAAGAAAATAATCTCCATCTTGAGGATCAGCAGCTGGTGGATGTTGCAGAGAAACCTCCTCCACCCTGCAGACAAACTGAATTACATCCCGTCTCAGGAATCTCATGAACGTCTGCTTCACATTTCTGACATCTCTCACTCGTTATGTTTTCTTTTCTTGTTGCAGGTCGACTTTGACCAATTCAAGAATGCTCTGATTTTAGTTTTATCATCAACTTTTGAGCCAGCCCCATCAGAACAGGAGACTCCGTCTAAACCAGGTGAAGATTCTCATGTTGCACGTTTTAAAGAAGTCACACACACAGTTCCTAAAAGGTCTGAATAGGCATTCATTTATTTACAGAAAGCATGTATTTGGTGTTAAACTGTTCTGAACCTGGGGCATTTGCTTATTGCTTTTGAGTCTGAAGGAAAAAAGGCAAAACATAGCAAGAAATTATAAATACTACATAATAATATACTATATAATCTCCCCTTTGTTCTTATTAAACCGGGTACACTTTTGAATCCTTATAAGTAAACAAAATACATTCTCGAAATGTAATATTCTTACACCTATTCTCCTCTTTTGACAGAACATTACATCTGTAAACCTTTTGAGTTCATGTTACAGTAATTTCTCTCTCTCAAAGAAAATGTTATAATGTAGGTTAGAAGATTCTGGAGTTACCACTTTTAGAGAAGTTGTCACTTTTGGAGAAGTAGCTGCTAAATGCCACGGCACATATTAGTCATAAATAATAATATGAAGGTCCTTGACAAAGTGAACAAACAAGATATAATTAGATCAAGGATATGTTACATGATAAAACCTGGTTATAAAACAGAATAAGTTCAAAGTGCAACCAATGATGTAAAAAAAGTAGAATAAAATACGTAAAAATTAGGAATAAAATATGTAAATAATTTGGAATAAAACATGTAAATAATTTGGAATAAAACATGTAAAAATAGAAATAAAATACGTAAAAATTAAGAATAAATCGTGTAAAAAAAGAAGAAAATATGTAAAAAAAAAGAATTAAAAGAAATGTAAAAATTAGGAATAAAACATGTAAATAATTTGGAATAAAACATGTAAAAATTAGGAATAAAATACGTAAAGGTTAAGAATAAAACATGTAAAAAAAGAACAATAATACATGTAAACAATAAGGAATAAAACAAGTACAAAATATGAAGATTGTCAGTTTATTAAAGGAAGTTCTGAATAAGTACATTTTGATTTAATAACATACTTGTTGTTGTGCAAGGCTTTACTACGACATTTTGCACCGGTGTTATACACATAAGCATACTCAGCGTATTGGATTTTAAAGTGTCCTGTCATGATTTCTCCTCAGACTCTCCTGAGATCCAGCCGAAGTTCGTGAAGGGCAGCAAGCGTTACGGCCGCCGCACCACGCCCGAGTTCATCGAGCATCACTCCGACTTCCCTGACGTGATGAACGCTGACGCGGCGCAGCACGAGGATCTGCGGGACAGCGATGACTCGGCTGTTCCCAGGAAGCGTGAGGTAAGAGATATTCTGAGCGTTTCTGGACCTACAGACTGTCAGACGCCTCCTTATCACCTCCTGTCCTCGCTGGAGGCCGTCAGCGAGCCGTTATTCTTAGATAATCGGCTTACATGCACAGACTGAGACACTCGAGGCAAGGAGAGTTTATTTATACAGATCAGTCAGACAGCAAGGGAAACAAAAGATAAACTGCTAAGTAAGGAATGTCCCCTTAATCTACCCTTAATTTAAAGGGTTTCCTGGTAGTTTGTTTCAGGTTTATGAAGCATTCAAAACGTTCCTAGGTCATTGTATATTGCAGAACTGGCTGTAAATGGCACGTAAGCATAATTTCTGTCTTAAAAAACCCTGTTGTAATTGTAATGTTTGTCTAAAGACGCACATTATAATAAGTTTGTCCTTCTGTGATTAAAGAGTTAACAAAATCACAGTTTTCCAGTGGTGGAAAGTAACTAAGTAGATTTACTCAGGTGCTGCACTTGATTCTGCTACTTGATTCTTCAATTTAGAGGCAAACATTTTACTTCTTTCTCAGCAGTACTTTATAATAGATAGATGGAGAGATGGATGGAGAGATGGATGGATAGATAGATACACTGAACAAAAATATAAATGCAACACTTTTGTTTTTGCTCCCATTTTTTTTTTGGGACGGGTGGCGCAGTGGTCTGTGCATCCGATCATCAGATCAAGGGGGAGTGCTGGGGAACTCCAGTTCGAAACCCGCTCCTGCCACCACTGCGTCAGGCCGTTGTGTCCTTGGGCAAGACACTTCACCCGGATTTGCTCCTGTGGGTATTGTCCACAGTACATGTATAATACCAATGTGTACTTGTAAAAGCGCCTCGATGACCTCGAGGCGTGAAGATGGACGGTGTGGCGCAGTGCGCTGTGCAATGATCAAGGGGTGAAACCCGCCGCTGCTGCGTCTGTAAAGCCGGTGTGTCCTTGGGCAAGACACTTCACCTGAACTTGCTCCTGTGGGTATTGTCCACAGTATCTGACCATTGCATGTATGATATATGTGTAATGTGTGTATTTGTAAAGCGCTTTGAGTCATTGAAAAAGCGCTATAATAAATGTAAGGAATTATTATTATTATTTTTCATGAGATGAACTCAAAGATCTAAAACATTTTTCTATATGCACAAAATAACCATTTCTCTCAAATATTGTTCACAAATCTGAAAAAATCTGTGATAGTGAGCACTTCTCCTTTGCCGAGATAATCCATCCCACCTCACAGGTGTGGCATATCAAGATGCTGATTAGACAGCATGATTATTGCACAGGTGTGCCTTAGGCTGGCCACAATAAAAGGCCACTCTGAGACGTGCAGTTTTGCTTTATTGGGGGGGTCCGAAAACCAGTCAGTATCTGGTGTGACCACACGCTGTCTGCCATCTGCCCTGAACAGTGATAACCGGGATTCATCCGTGAAGAGAACACCTCTCCAACGTGCCAGACGCCATCGAATGTGAGCATTTGCCCACTCAAGTCGGTTACGACGACGAACCGCAGTCAGGTCGAGACCCCGATGAGGACGACGAGCATGCAGATGAGCTTCCCTGAGACGGTTTCTGACAGTTTGTGCAGAAATTCTTTGGTTATGCAAACCGATTGTTGCAGCAGCTGTCCGAGTGGCTGGTCTCAGACGATCTTGGAGGTGAACATGCTGGATGTGGAGGTCCTGGGCTGGTGTGGTTACACGTGGTCTGCGGTTGTGAGGCCGGTTGGATGTACTGCCAAATTCTCTGAAACGCCTTTGGAGACGGCTTATGGTAGAGAAATTAACATTCAATTCACGGGCAACAGCTCTGGTGGACATTCCTGCTGTCCGCATGCCAATTGCACGCTCCCTCAAAACTTGCGACATCTGTGGCATTGTGCTGTGTGATAAAACTGAACATTTTAGAGTGGCCTTTTATTGTGGCCAGCCTAAGGCACACCTGTGCAATAATCATGCTGTCTAATCAGCATCTTGATATGCCACACCTGTGAGGTGGGATGGATTATCTCGGCAAAGGAGAAGTGCTCACTATCACAGATTTTTTTCAGATTTGTGAACAATATTTGAGAGAAATGGTTATTTTGTGTATATAGAAAATGTTTTAGGTCTTTCAGTTCATCTCATGAAAAATGGGAGCAAAAACAAAAGTGTTGCATTTATATTTTTGTTCAGTGTAGATGGATAGATAGATGGATGGATGGATAGATAGATGGATGGATAGATGGATAGATAGATGGATGGATGGATGGATAGATAGATAGATGGATGGATGGATAGATAGATAGATGGATAGATGGATAGATGGGTACTTTATTGATCTCAATTTGGGAAATGTTTGCATTGCATCAGCATAAAAAACAAAGGAATGTACAAAAGAGAAATTAAGACACAAGAAATATTTCAGAAATAAAATAGCATTTAAAAAGTTAAATAAAATAAATATATACATGTGGAAATACAAATTTCCAGTAGGAGGCACAAAATAACGTTCACTTGTAAATGTATAATGTTACAGATAGTGGTCGCAGTGGTGTACTCTGCTACAATTCAGAAGCAAATATTGTGAAAGAAGAAATAAAGAAGCAATGTTATGGATGCATAATAGCCCCAAATCTCAATATTGGCCAGTGCATGAAAAATATTTCCTGACTGCTGTGGTTGATGCTTCTTCTAATGGCCGTTCAGACGTTGGATGTGCTGCAGAAGTTTAATTTACGACACAAAGAGAGTCCCGACTGCTCTCTGAAACGCCATAATGATGTTAGGTTCAGCTTGTGGTCTGATGGAAGTATGTAAACTCTGCTTATTGTCTGAAGACAAATGCTGTCAGAGCTGAAGCGTGTCTCCGGGGTCAAAGGAAATCTCGGTGTCCAGCGGGGGAGAGCAGATGCGGGGGGGGGGGGGGGAGGAGGAGGGTGACAGAGGAACAATGAGTCCCCCCTGCATGCCGATGCACCATGCATCAAAACGCCACTTTCAGCATCCCATCTGCTCCTCATTCCCTCAGTGTTTGCGACACAGACAAAAGACGGTCACACTGCAGACAGAGGGTCACACCCCCTAACTCCCCCCCCCCCCCCCCCCCCCCCCCCCCCCCCCCCCCATACTATATTTCTAAACAAGCAAAAAAGAGTTTAAAGGGCTGCAAGACTATGTCCAGAGTCATCAATATAATGATTTTAGGCACACATTTATTTCAAAAATATACACATACAAGATACAAAACATTTCTAGAAAAATATATTGTTAAATACACATTTTAGAAATATATGACGCACCAAAGATAGAACAAATAATTTCCACAGGCTGAGCGTCTATCATCAGCATAAACATTTCCAAGTCTTGCCGTTAAAATAAATTCAAGTTTCTTCTTCTGTATCTTTCAACACTTCATTGTTCAAAAGGGCAAATGATGGGGAAAAAGACAAAAACCAAGGGCGAGTAAATGCTCTGATTGTTCACCACTTTTTCTCCAGCTCAAAAATATTTGGCAGAGAAATTATCAGTAAAAACGTTTTATAATTTGCTGGTTACATCTTAAGATGTTTCTTATTACACTTTCAATTTAAAACCAACAGAGCTCCGTATCTCCTTAACTTATTTTTACCATAAAATTATATTAAGAAATAGAGAATTAAGAAGAAAAATGTATAAAGGATTATTTCAGATAAATAAAACTGCTCCTTATTTGCAGTGATAGAAAGTATAAAAAATATATATAATTACAAACATTTTTTATTTGAACCGAAATTGCTTTAATGTTGTGCTATGTTGGAAAAATCTCACTCGTCACCGGCTTGAGTTTCGATAATCAGAATGTGTTTATTATTATGCAAGAATGGAAGTAGTCATCACACACAATACGCTACAACCAAGCCCCCAGGAAGTGCTCCGGACTCTGTGCCCAAAATTCGTAGTGTCCAAACGGCAGTACTGCAACTTCCGTGACGTCACTGGGCCCAGAAAGACTTTTTCCCCATTGACTAACATGGGGAAAGAAACGTCTGTAAATCAGCGGATAATTTCTTTTAAACTAAATTAACGACCCAGTAGGAACTATTTTATAGCCCTTATTAGAATCATTCGGCCCTTAAAGTTGTAAAATGCACTAAAAGCCGAATCTAGATTTATTTTCTCTCTCTATTCATTCTAGTGAGCCGAGAGTGGGATCTCGGTGGGCGGGGCTTAAGGGGCGCATGCTCTGTGAGCGCACGTACGAGTTCCTCTGCTCTGACAGGCATGATGGGTAATCTGTGACGTTTCGCTCTCTCAAAAGTTGGGCCATTTTGCCTTCATGCGCCAATGAGCAGCTCTCATAGGAAAGAACGAGACCCCGCCTCCGACGCTGTATCCAGTTCTTATTATACATCCATGATAACAACTAGTTCCCCGAACAGTGTGCGTACTCCGTCTTATATGCAAGAGAGAGTGTTTCACACTCAGAATGAAGGCACACACTGGTTCAAACTATGTCTTCTTTGTTGAGGATAACGGCTGTCCTTGAGCGCCAGGAAATAATGTGTTTATCTTCTCAGAGGACGAACATTATCTTCAGATCTCAGACACACACATTCTGCATTCTTACGATGATCTCATGCAGTCATAAACGCTGCACTTTCTGTCTTTACGATTCGTTTAAACAGTTTTTTCCCAACATGCTACAAATGGGAAAATCTTTTTTTTAAACTTCTCCAAAAGCATTTTTAAATCAGTATTTTTCTTGAGTTAGCGTTCCCTTTTCAACACCTTATTTATATAAATGCGAATGATGTTAGTAAATGTTGAAATGTACATAACTAGATAGAAAATAATGAAATCTTCTTTGACCTTATCCAGAAAGAACCCAAGTCAATTTGCACACATGCAAAATATTTTAAAAGGTACAAAATAAACAAGTGTCTTTCCGTTGCACATTTTCTCTATTATTGAAACCATTTCCATTTCCACACTGACCTTCGTGCCATCACTAAAGCTCTTTGTGCTTTCTGTCAGACGCCCCCCCCCCCCTCCTCCTCCACCTGGCCTGATTTAAAACCATGTCTGAACTCATAAACAGCTGATTAACACAAGAGAAAATCAGCCTGCAGGGGGTTTCTGATGTGGTCACTTTTCTCACATTTATCCTATTTTGGGTTATTTAAAGGTCCCCTATTATACTGTTTTTCATCAATATATTATAGGTCTCAGATATATATACAAAACATGTCTCACCAAACAGATCATTGTAGCATTACCCATAATCCCCTCTGTTTCAGCCCTGTTTCCAAAGTGCTGATTCTCTGTCTGTTACTTTAGATGAAAATAAGGAGCCCCTCCCCACGCCCCTCTGAGAGACATTTGGTTACAAAGAACTCAATGGTGCTCTAGGAGGAGATTCAGGTGATAAGGGGGGGGGGGGGTTACCTTGGTTGGTGATTGGCTAATGGTTACACAAGACAATACATCGTTATGACATCATAGAGTGGCCAAAATCTGAACAGCTCATTTTCAGACAGGTTTTTATAGAAATGGATCAAATCAAATCAAATCAAGTTTTATTTATATAGCACATTTATAAACGATTTTTGGTCGAGCCAAAGTGCTGTACATATAATAAAAATAGCCTACAGTAGAGACACTTTACAGCTAATACAACAGCACAGATTGTTCAGAATATCAGTATGAGAAAAACGACACCCTCTGTCCTTAGACCCTCACATCGTACAAGAGAAAGAGAAAACCCACAGATCAGGACAAAAAGAGAGAGAATCTTTGTTCCTGAAACTTTCAGAGTCTCTTTCCACAGAGGGGACACATGTTGATGTAGAAGAGACATGAAGAAGAGGGGACACATGTTGATGTAGAAGAGACATGAAGAAGAGGGGACACATGTTGATGTAGAAGAGACATGAAGAAGAGGGGACACATGTTGATGTAGAAGAGACATGAAGAAGAGGGGACACATGTTGATGTAGAAGAGAGATGAAGAAGAGGGGACACATGTTGATGTAGAAGAGACATGAAGAAGAGGGGACACATGTTGATGTAGAAGAGACATGAAGAAGAGGGGACACATGTTGATGTAGAAGAGACATGAAGAAGAGGGGACACATGTTGATGTAGAAGAGACATGAAGAAGAGGGGACACATGTTGATGTAGAAGAGAGATGAAGAAGAGGGGACACATGTTGATGTAGAAGAGACATGAAGAAGAGGGGACACATGTTGATGTAGAAGAGACATGAAGAAGAGGGGACACATGTTGATGTAGAAGAGACATGAAGAAGAGGGGACACATGTTGATGTAGAAGAGAGATGAAGAAGAGGGGACACATGTTGATGTAGAAGAGACATGAAGAAGAGGGGACACATGTTGATGTAGAAGAGACATGAAGAAGAGGGGACACATGTTGATGTAGAAGAGAGATGAAGAAGAGGGGACACATGTTGATGTAGAAGAGGACATGAAGAAGAGGGGACACATGTTGATGTAGAAGAGAGATGAAGAAGAGGGGACCACATGTTGATGTAGAAGAGAGATGAAGAAGAGGGGACACATGTTGATGTAGAAGAGACATGAAGAAGAGGGGACACATGTTGATGTAGAAGAGACATGAAGAAGAGGGGACACATGTTGATGAAGAGGGGACACATGTTGATGAAGAGGAGACATGAAGAAGAGGGGACACATGTTGATGAAGAGGAGACATGAAGAAGAGGGGACACATGTTGATGTAGAAGAGACATGAAGAAGAGGGGACACATGTTGATGTAGAAGAGACATGAAGAAGAGGGGACACATGTTGATTTAGAAGAGACATGAAGAAGAGGGGACACATGTTGATGTAGAAGAGACATGAAGAAGAGGGGACACATGTTGATGTAGAAGAGACATGAAGAAGAGGGGACACATGTTGATGTAGAAGAGACATGAAGAGAGGGGACACATGTTGATGTAGAAGAGACATGAAGAAGAGGAGACACATGTTGATGTAGAAGAGACATGAAGAAGAGGGGACACATGTTGATGTAGAAGAGACATGAAGAGGGGACACATGTTGATGTAGAAGAGACATGAAGAAGAGGGACACATGTTGATGTAGAAGAGACATGAAGAAGAGGGGACACATGTTGATGTAGAAGAGACATGAAGAAGAGGGGACACATGTTGATGTAGAAGAGACATGAAGAAGAGGGGACACATGTGATGTAGAAGGACATGAAGAAGAGGGACACATGTTGATGTAGAAGAACATGAAGAAGAGGGGAACATGTTTGATGTAGAAGAGAGTATGAAGAAGAGGGGACACATGTTTGATGTAGAAGAGACATGAAGAAGAGGGGACACATGTTGATGTAGAAGAGACATGAAGAAGAGGGGACACATGTTGATGTAGAGAGACATGAAGAAGAGGGGACATATGTTGATGTAGAAGAGACATGAAGAAGAGGGGACACATGTTGATGTAGAAGAGACATGAAGAAGAGGGGACACATGTTGATGAAGAGGGGACACATGTTTGATGAAGAGGAGACATGAAGAAGAGGGGACACATGTTGATGAAGAGGAGACATGAAGAAGAGGGGACACATGTTTGATGTAGAAGAGACGTGAAGAAGAGGGGGACACATGTTGATGTAGAAGAGACATGAAGAAGAGGGGACACATGTTGATGTAGAAGAGACGTGAAGAAGAGGGGACACATGTTGATGTAGAAGAGACATGAAGAAGAGGGGACACATGTTGATGTAGAAGAGACATGAAGAAGAGGGGACACATGTTGATGTAGAAGAGACATGAAGAAGAGGGGACACATGTTGATGTAGAAGAGACATGAAGAAGAGGGGACACATGTTGATGTAGAAGAGACATGAAGAAGAGGGGACACATGTTGATAGAAGAAGAGAACATGAAGAAGAGGGGACACATGTTGATGTAGAAGAGACATGAAGAAGAGGGGACACATGTTGATGTAGAAGAGACATGAAGAAGAGGGGACACATGTTGATGTAGAAGAGACATGAAGAAGAGGGGACACATGTTGATGTAGAAGAGACAGGAAGAAGAGGGGACACATGTTGATGTAGAAGAGACATGAAGAAGAGGGGACACATGTTGATGTAGAAGAGACATGAAGAAGAGGGGACACATGTTGATGTAGAAGAGACATGAAGAAGAGGGGACACATGTTGATGTAGAAGAGACATGAAGAAGAGGGGACACATGTTGATGTAGAAGAGACATGAAGAGGGGACACATGTTGATGTAGAAGAGACATGACATGAAGAAGAGGAGACACATGTGATGTAGAAGAGACATGAAGAAGAGGGGACACATGTTGATGTAGAAGAGACATGAAGAGGGGACACATGTTGATGTAGAAGAGACATGAAGAAGAGGGGACACATGTTGATGTACGAAGAGACATGAAGAAGAGGGGGACACATGTTGATGTAGAAGAGACATGAAGAAGAGGGGACACATGTTTGATGTAGAAGAGACATGAAGAAGAGGGGACACATGTTGATGTAGAAGAGACATGAAGAAGAGGGGACACATGTTGATGTAGAAGAGACATGAAGAAGAGGGGACACATGTTGATGTAGAAGAGACATGAAGAAGAGGGGACACATGTTGATTGTAGAAGAGACATGAAGAAGAGGGGACACATGTTGATGTAGAAGAGACATGAAGAAGAGGGGACACATGTTGATGTAGAAGAGACATGAAGAAGAGGGGACACATGTTGATGAAGAAGAGACATGAAGAAGAGGGGACACATGTTGATTTAGAAAAGACATGAAAAAGTGGATTTTGTAGAATAGGTGACCTTTAAAACAGAGTTTACGGGAAAACAAGTTGACGTCCGTTGAATGAAAATCTTTGTGGTTAGAATGTCCGGTGAAAATATTTCCCCCGCAGCACAATTTGAAGTGAATAAAAAAATAAGCTAAATAAATGCTTAGGTTATTTGATTTCTTTGAATTGGCAGCTGCGTAGAAATGCATAGAAAGTAGCCGGAATATGTTTTGGTTCATTTGTATTTTATTTTTAAGGGTTTCAAAGTATATATATTATAAAGGCCTATAGCGAAAAGGAAATTGAGACAGCCATGCTTAATTGCATTTGAGTTTCATTTTAAGTATATGAGGCCTAAAGCGTTATATTTGTTTCTTTAAAAAACGTTATTATTTTAGTTTTTAATTCAATTAAATCTACTTTCCTTGATGATGTCATTCTTTATAAAGCCTTTTAATTAATAGTTTTTATCCTCAATATTCCACACGGATCATACTTTCTTCATTTTTCCCGGGACTTTTAAATCTTCCCGGACTCAGTAACCGTACATTTCTATTGGCAACACTGATTCAAATTATTATTTGTATTATTTGTGATATTAATCTACATTCTTCCGTGTTTTTCTCTGTTCAAGCGCTGGAACGCTCATGATACCAGCACAGAGGAGTTCGAGGCTGAAGGTACGTTTTATAGTTCAGTCATTTATTAAACTTCCCTCTACGGATATTTGTATTGTATAACGTTTTGGGCCGTGGATCTGTTAGCCTAGCATTCAGGATATTATTACTTAAACCAGGAATATTAAACAAAAAACAGACACACTGTTGATCGAAGTTAAAGATTATATTGTTGTTGTATAAGAGACACAAATCTTGCAGCAAGTCAGCAAAGAGTATGTGTTTTGAAGATTAATAAAACCTTCCAGATGTTATACTTTCTTTCCCCCAAAGTTAACATTTACTTGGTTGTCCCTGGAGCTTCAGACCATCCATGTTTACATGTCATCCTTTAGCAATCTTCAGCAGGAAACATACTGAAAAACAATCTATAAACAGGTTATTATATGATAGATGGATGGGTAAATTGATAGATGGATGGATAGGTAGATAGATACTTTATTGATCCCAATTTGGGAAATGTTTGCGTTGCAGCAGCATAAAAAACAAGGCAATGTATATAAGAGAAATTAAGACACAAGAAAATAAACAGTCCAAAAATATTTCAGAAATAGCATTAAAAAAGAAATATATATACATGTGGAAAATATATGGAAATACAAATGTCCAGTAACAAATATAATGTAATGCAGGATATTATTGTGCAAGAAATGGATTATTCAATATGAAATTGAATATATATGTAAAATGAACAGTGTTAATATGGAATGCCGTTTAAGCCAAAATTAAATAAATAAATTCATAAATAATTAAATAAATACATATATAAATAAATATGCCTATGAAATAAATAAATAAATATGGTTATGAAATAAATAAACGTGGCATTATGAAATAAAAGTCCCATGAAATAAATAAATGTGTATTTAAATGTATATATATTTATTGCCTCATTTATTTATTTCAGAATTTATTTCATAACCATATTGTCCATATGTAAAGTCCAGTTATTCAGAGAAGCTATGGAGAGTTCTCTTCCAGCCAGAGAAGATTTGTTGTACAAAGTATCTGTCCTTGTGACCATATCCACAGTAAAGATGATTTCTCCCCTGGTTCCTGTGTGCAGGTCAAATGCAGCTCTGGAACCCCGACGACCCCATCACCCTCCGGGGGTCGGGGGTCCCCCTACTCCCCCCTGCTGTGCAGGAGAGGCTGCAGGACGCTTGCCATCAGCTGCTGGTCAGCTGGGACGGCTCTGCAGACCACTCCCAGCTGATGGAGCTCTGCCAACACCTCGGACTGGAGGTGAGGCGCAGATATTGATATTTTTATCATTTTGAAATCACACAGAACTTTAATAGAATAGAATAGAATGGGAGGGATGAAACCCTCTTTAATGGTCACACATGCAGAGCAGTGAAATGTGTTCTCTGCTTTTAACCCATCCTAGTACCAGGAGTCTAGTACTAGGAGCTATTGTACAGCGCCCGGGGAGCAATGGGAGTGAGGGTGGAAGGGGGGTGTCCGGTGCCTTGCTCAAGGGCACCACGGCAGGGCAGGAGGTGAACTGGGACCTCTCCAAGTAGCAGTCCACACTCCATATTTAGGTCTGGTCGGGGACTTGAACCAGCGACCCTACGGCTCACAGTCCAAGCCCTTACTGACTGAGCCACTGCCGGACATTTTGTCGTAGTAGCACAATCAAAACGTTAATGTTCTAAATTAATGATTATAATAATTCATTTATCTTTAAATAGCCATGTAGAGAATCAGACATTTGGATTTCCTAACACGAGCTCCATTTTATATTGAAATCAAATGAGACAAATAAAATAAATACAAAATATTGATATAAACATTAATTTTACTGTAAAGTAAGAATGTACAATAAGACAAATAAAATAAACATATTTATATTAAAATAATAATAAGGATAGCAATACAATGATTTAAAACAGAAGGTTTGTTTTTTATAACTATTTTTTCAATGATGAAACACCTGCACCTGGTCTCTCTAGCAAACATTTCTCCCTCACCAAACACCTGTGTATTCTCCAGATAAACGTGGACGTCTTCCAGAGTCTGACGGGTGACGGAGAGATGAACGTTCAGGAGTTTGTCTCCCGGGTTTTAAATCAGAACAAACCTCCGACACCGTCCGCCTCCACGCCGTACAGGCAACTCAAACGCCTCCACTCCACACAGGTGAACATGCTCAGGGTTAATGATGTCAGCTATTTAGACTAATGCCTGAATCATACTACGTCAACTTCTTCACTAAAAGTCTGGTCCGTTTGGTCCTGAGCATTTAGTCAGAGCATTTCAGTCTAACTATGTTCAACAAAAAACAATATTTATTTTAGTCAATTCAAATAGTTTTAGACGTCAGATTTTATTTAAAATGTCATGTGGATTCTGTTATCGTTGTTACATTTAGCTTCAAGAAGTTTCTGCAAGTCCTCCTGCAGCTGTAGTCCTCATTAGTTTGAAATAAATAACAATTAGTGGTTATTTTAGCTGACTTTGCAGTTGTGATATGATTTGCAATATTAGCGATTTTATTAAATATAGTCATCATGCATAAAACAACATATTTTTCCTTTTTTAGTTTCCCGGTAATAGAGACATTAAGAGCTACATCTCAGGTTGCATTTTCTGTAGATTACCTCTCTGTTTTCTGTATTAAAACCCGTTATATCCCCCCCCCCGTGCAGCCGTTTGATGAGGGCGGGCGTCGCACAGCGTCCTGTCCGCTGAGCAGCTCCATCGGCCTGCGTCTGTTCTCCAGCCTGGACGACGGGAGCGGCTTCACGGCGGTGGAGAGCCTGCTGGACGCCTGGATGGAGGAGGGCGTGGAGAACAGCCTGGAGATCCTGCAGGTACATTACTCTGATTATTAGTTTTACTTTGACCTGATGTCAAAAAGATACGGAATGAATAATCTTGATTTTGGCTTGAACCTTTGCGAAATTAATGTTTTGAAATACTTCGTTTTCTCTAAAGCAAATGTTAAATTGTTATTTGATTTTTTTCTTTTTTGGAAATGAGATTTTTCACAATTGTAGGTTTATTCTTTCTTTTGTTTTTTTATAATTACTTTGTCTTATTCTGAAAAATGTTTCTTTATGTGAAAATATAACCAATCATTTTACTAAATATTTACAAAAAGGAACAAATATTATTGTTATTTCTTTGTTATTATTAATGTGATGTTGTTGTTGTTATTGCAGGCTCTGAACTTCGGTCTGGACGGGCGTCTGAGCCTCAGCGATCTGACTCTGGCTCTGGAGAACGAGCTCCTCGTCACCAAGAACGGGATCCACCAGGCGGCGCTCGCCAGCTTCAGATCTGAGATCAGACATCTGCTGTGAGTACAAAGTCTTAAAGGTCACCTATTATGCAAAATCCACTTTCTCATGTCTTTTCTACATCAACATTCAAAGAAATCAAATAACATAAGCATTTATTTAGCTTATTTTTTTATTCACTTCAAATTGTGCTGCGGGGGAAATATTTTCACCGGACATTATAACCTCAAAGATTTTCATTCAACGGACGTCAACTTGTTTTCCCGTAAACTCTGATTTAAAGGTCACCTATTCTGCAAAATCCACTTTTTCATGTCTCTTCTACATCAACATGTGTCCCCTCTTCTTCATGTCTCTTCTACATCAACATGTGTCCCCTCTTCTTCATGTCTCTTCTACATCAACATGTGTCCCCTCTTCTTCATGTCTCTTCTACATCAACATGTGTCCCTTCTTCTTCATGTCTCTTCTACATCAACATGTGTCCCCTCTTCTTCATGTCTCTTCTACATCAACATGTGTCCCCCTCTTCTTCATGTCTCTTCTACATCAACATGTGTCCCCTCTTCTTCATGTCTCTTCTACATCAACATGTGTCCCCTCTTCTTCATGTCTCTTCTACATCAACATGTGTCCCCTCTTCTTCATGTCTCTTCTACATCAACATGTGTCCCCTCTTCTTCATGTCTCTCTACATCAGCATGTGTCCCTTCTTCTTCATGTCTCTTCTACATCAACATGTGTCCCCTCTTCTTCATGTCTCTTCTACATCAACATGTGTCTCCTCTTCTTCATGTCTCTTCTACATCAACATGTGTCCTCTCTTCTTCATGTCTCTTCTACATCAACATGTGTCTCCTCTTCTTCATGTCTCTTCTACATCAACATGTGTCCCCTCTTCTTCATGTCTCTTCTACATCAACATGTGTCCCCTTTGTGGAAAGAGACTCTGAAAGTTTCAGGAACAAAGATTCTCTCTCTTTTTGATCCATTTCTATAAAAACCTGTCTGAAAATGAGCTGATCAGATTTTGGCCACTTTGTGATGTCATAACGATGTGTAACCATTAGCCAATCACCAACCAAGGTAACCCCCCCCCCCCCCCCCACCTTATCACCTGAACCTCCTCCTAGAGCACCATTGAGTTCTTTGTAACCAAATGTCTCTCAGAGGGGCGTGGGGAGGGGCTCCTTATTTTCATCTAAAGTAACAGACAAAGAATCAGCACTTTGGAAACAGGGCTGAAACAGAGGGGATTATGGGTAATGCTGCAATGACCTGTTTGGTGTTTGGAGCCAAACACTTCAGAGACATGTTTGTATCTGAGAGCTATAATATATTGATGAAAAACAGTATAATAGGGGACCTTTCATTTATATTGAATAAATAGATTTGGAACCGTTTGAAAGCTGCAGGAGTAGGATGTGTAATCATGAGTTAATTGTTGTTTTTATTCTCAGAGAGCGTGTGGACAGGGAGCTCGGGGAGAAGGGCAGGATTCGTTCTGATCTGGAGAAAACCGAGAAACTAAAAGCTCAACTCGCTGTCGAGGTGGATGAGAGACACGCTGCTATAGAGCAAACCAACAACCAAAACCTCAGGTATTTAACTCATTTTAACATCGGACATAGAGGTCTTGTTGAAGTTGAGTATTACACGACATATGGGGCTTTTTAAAATGGAAGCAAATAAACCAAGAAGCCCTATTTTTATTTGCTTAAACCACAATAACTTAATGCTTACCTCAAAGGCTTTGACTCCATCCTCCTCCTACATGTGTCACAGTCAGTGTTGTGGTGTGTTGAGTATTTGTGTTGCACGTTCTGTGTGCAGGAAGCTGGAGCAGGATCACAGGGAGAAGCTGAGTGTGGTGCGCTCAGATCTGATGAAGGACATGGAGCTGATGCAGCAGCAGAGCGATCAGAAGAGAGAGACCCTGGAGGCCGAGCTGGAGAAGATCAGGGAGGACGAGTCCTTCCTCAGAGACCACCTCTCCATCTCCCTCCAGGTACACACACACTTTCTCTGTGGATATAGTACAAGGTGGTTTCTCCACACAGAATGTCTAATGTCTCTTATTATTACAGGAAAACAGACGCCTTGAAATGGAGCTGCTGGACAGCACCGACCACCTGGTGGCGGCTCAGAGTCAGAACACTAAACTGCAGACTAACCTGGAAAACATGAGGAAAGAAAAGGTATAATAGACAGTTCAATGGGTCTACAATTCCAAAACAGTCTAATTTGGTTTGTGCCTTTTTTCTGCTTGCTTTTGTTTGTGTCTTCTTTTTATTTTATGGTTCATGTGCAAACAAACTAATAACGTGTAAATGATTTTGTCTTCTTCAGTTTGGAGACTTGGACCCCGGCAGCGCAGACTTCTTACTCCAAGAGGAACGAATCAAAGAATTACACAGCAGCTACGGAGCTCACTATAGGGTAACTACACAGTGTCTACATCTCTAACAACGTCCACCTTTTTCAACTGCATGGACATTTTATGCTGGGGCTTTTTTATGTAAAAAGATACAGATAGAAGACACCAATCACAGTCAAAACCCATTATAACACAATGTAAAGACAACTATTTACAACATTATAAAGAAGAAACTAAAAGCCAAAGTAGATTAGAATGTTACCTGGCTCTAAACAGAGATTATGAGCTGGCTGAATATCTCTCTACTGTCAGAGATAGAAAGCAGAGGCAGATCCTAACCAAGCACAGGCTCAGTGACCACAACCAGGCAACAGGAAGACACAAAAGATCCTGGCAACCAAAAGAAAACAGCATATGTGGTCACTGTATGACAGGTGAGACTGAGACAGAGATGTACTTCCTCCTAAAGTGCCAAACATTCAAAGACATAAGGGACATTTACTGTAACAAGTTGAACTCTGTAATCCCAGGTTTCAAGGAGGTTAATGACCTCTCAAGGCTGAAAATACTCCTAGGAGAAGGAGACAAGGCACATCTTGCTGCCCAATATGTATACACATGCCACAACCTGGGGGACTGTGAATGAGACACACACACACACCAGAGTTCCCGTTAGCCGGTAATTACCGGACTACGACCGGTAAAATATGCTGAAGACCGGCAAATCTAAATCTCTCCGGTCAAAGTGTCCGTTCAAAATAATTTCCGTTTAGCGCAATACCACATCAGTTGCGCAACTTGCTCCATTTATGTGACAGACAAGAAGAGTATGTGACAGACAAGAATAGTCAATTCTAATGTCTAACACGTAATGTGGAGAAAGAGATGTCCTGTATGGGTTGATTGTGCGTTGATCTGTTGGTAATGCCTCGGGGTTCCGGTGGGCATGTAAACAAATGCATAATGCTGCGCTATACTTTGCGGCCTCACCCGGTTGCATAGCGATGCTTATTGTTTAGGTGTCTTTTAATAAGCAGGTAGTCATATCATTAGCTAGAACTAGCTGGATCTGATCGATATGGACATAAACGCGAGTGAAGTCTAATCTGATGGGAGAGAGAGATCAGCTGCTGCTGACGAGTCGACACGCAGCTCTGCATGATCACATGCAGCGTGAGCGGACAAAACACACACCAGGTTAGAATATCACACGTAGCCTAGCTATTTTAATGACCTCTCAAACTACCTGAACTAGTTATAGATATGTTTAGTTTTACTGTCGGGTCACTCATTACTGATCCGCGAGCTGCATGATACTGACGGGCTGACAGGAGAGGGAGAGCGCTCCGTTTATTATTCCAGTGTTATTATAAATTACTGTACACTTTTGAATAATGTAGTTAATCTACTAGGCCTATAATTAGTTTGTTTAATATCGAATCATATCAATTTGTTTTAAAGCACAATAAATAACAAAGAAGACCTTTGACCGGCACTTTTCTCATTTTGTCCAGAAGATTTAAACTTTAACGGACATGTTGACCGGCGAAGAAATATTCTAACGGGAACTCTTGACACACACACACACGATCACGCACCCAAAGAAACACAAACACACACACACACACACACACACACACACACACACACGTGTTGAAGTGTGTGTATTAGTGTTGCACGATGTACCGATAATTGAAAGGTACCGCGATACCCTGCCGTTAAAAACGTTACGATTCCTCCGTTTCATTAGTATCGGTACTTTAAAGGCCCTGACACACCAGGCCGATTTCGGCTGTTTTCGTAAGTCGGGAGACGAAGCGTGTCCTGTCGCCCAAACTCAATTTGGTGTGTCCCGCACCGTCGACCGTGACACGCCTTATTTGGACTGCCAGACCCGATGCATGGCCGATTCAACATGTTGAATCGGCCATGCATCGGGTCTGGCAGTCGGACCAAACAATCACTCTGATTGGCTGTTCAGCTAGCGAATCAGTGCATGAGAAGCGAAACGGAAGTGAGGGACGTAAACAAACGATTTAAGAAGGCACATACAGACTGATATTCATTTCCATCTCATCATGGCGATCTGGAATGACGCAAACGAAGACCTGCTCATCACATTGATCCAGGAGAGGCCAGCTCTGTACGACATCACAGAGAAAAGGTACTCGAACCGAGTAGTGAAAACCGGACTCTGGCGAGAGATTGAAACGCAACTTGGTTTCTCGGGTAAGATTATCTTTTTCATCAATTGAGCTCTTTAGCAGATATTGTTGGCTTTTTATTGTTTGCCAGCGTACAGTGACGTTAACGTGAAATGTAATTTGTTATTTCAACCTTGTGTTTTGTTGTTATCTTGTTGCTAGCTGTGCAGTTTGGCACTGCATATAGATATGAATTGGACATGCTAACTAGCCACAATGCTTACATCGTTTATTTGTGTGCTTCAGAGAAAGAGCTGAGGAAGAAGTGGGATTCTCTGCGAACCCAGTACACCCGGTACAGGAGACTTGCCCCTTCGGGTTGTTGTGGAGCACCAAAGGCGGGCAGACAGCAGTGGATCATAACCAGGCTGCAGTTTGCACACCCTATTTGTTGTTGTTTATATCACGCAGTCTGTTCTTCTTCTCTGTCTTCCGGTTGTTGCCTATTTTTAATGACGAATACACACTACCGCCGCCTGCTGGTAAGGAGAGTTATTGCCACTCACGCACTGAAGTCTTTGCGGTGTGTTCCCGTGCGACACATGGCCAAGACGCAGGAGAACACCGCGACGCAACAGCCGACGTCGGCGTCGGCGAGTCCTCTGGTGACTGCTTGGTGTGTCAGGGCCTTAACGGAGCGTCCACACAGCAGCGTGCGTTGACGCTTGGAGGTGGGCGTATCTGAAGCTTGGGGATTTTTTGCGAGCAACGCGACCAACAACCAATCACATGAATCTCCCGCCCCCGACATACAAAGCAATAGCAATGTTAAAACGAAGTAAACTGGATATAAAATCCCCAAACAAGCGAAAACCTACCAGTTTCACCCACTGTCTCTGCCTCCTCCCTCCATGCCTCGCTCCTCCGGTTTGTATCCCGGTAGATGAACAGAGACTGATCATAGAGCACCGGGTGATTCTCTACCGCTATAATGAATTTTCCCTCAATTTTTTTGAATATGAGGAAATGACCTGCGTAGTCTCTCCCAGCATACACACGGTTTGATTGGCTAGCGCTTGTACGGACAGATTTGCATAAACGGGATTTCATTGGCTGACGCCTCCGTCGAGGCGTCAAAAGTTGAACGTTGCTCAACTTTTAACGCCAGCCACGCCAGCCACACCAGCAACGCTCCACGTCGCTTCCCAAAATGCAGTTCGGCTAAAAGTGACGTCACCCCATTCAAAGTGAATGGGCAGAAGCGTTGGAAGCTTCAACGCACGCCGCTGTGTGGACGGGCCGTAAGAATGACGGGGGAAAGTACTCCGGTGAGAAAGCGCTGTTTTAATAAGAGCCGTGTGTGGTCAGCGCTCTGCTTCCACTCCCTGCACTGCAGCCGTGCCTGCAGTCTCTCCCCTCTCGTGCACGCTCTAAGTCCCTCCCCTCTCTCGTGCACTCTTGCACGTGCTAGCTGCCAGAGCATGTGAGAAAGCGAGAAGCATGGCTGCAAGTGGGAGTGCAACTGCCGCTGCGCCTCGGCTTGTTGACAAAAAAGACGCCAGAAGCGAAAAACAAGTTGTTTATAGATGATGCTTAATTGTATTTAATACAAATTCTTGTCATTTATTTTATTTATTGTTCTCATTGTTTAAAAGTTTGTGTTATGGTTCTGGTGTGAAATAAAGCACAATAATTACATTTAAGACTGTTTCCCTTTTTTTAAGAAAAGTATCGAAAAACAATCGGATTCGCAATTCTTGACTTGGTATCGAAACCGTAACACTGTATGTGTATATGTATGTATGTGTGTGTGTGTATATATATATATATATATGTGTGTGTGTATCTATGTATGTGTATATATATATATACATATATGTGTGTATATATATATATATATATATGTGTGTGTATATATATATATATGTGTGTGTATATATATATGTGTGTATATATATGTGTGTATGTATGTATGTATGTGTGTATATATATCAATAATATGTGAAATGTATGTTAATTAATTTGTATTTTGATGCTTTGGCAACATAGTTTCATTTAACTTTCATGCCAATAAAGCCCCTTTTGAAATGAATTGAATAGAAGAAGAACAGAGACTGAGACACGACTTTTGGTACTGATGATACCTCCCCAAAATGTGTTATTCAACAGTGTTGCATGAAAGTGAATGATGGGAAATGAATGATATACAGTCAGAAATAACTCTGATATTCATTTGTACATGCCGACTAATCAGAAGTGTTGACAGAGATAATGTTGTGATGTTTTTATCATATCATGTGTGCAGGAGCTGCAGGATCGTATCGACGAGTTGCAGATGGAGCTGCAGGAGTTTCACAGCGTGGGACGAGTTCTTCAGCCTGGACACAAAACGCTCTCTGAGGAGCTGGAGAGCAAGAGCCCCGGCATGGAGTCTGACCCTGGTACTAATAATAATAATACATCACACTTATATAGCGCTTTTCTAAAAACTCAAAGACGCTTTGACAGAGAATAACACAAAAACGAAGAAAATACATAAAGAGACAAACAGAAAAGGGGGGTGGGGGTAATGGTCAGTGGTTGAATGCAGTCTTGAGTGATTACTACACACACACACACACACACACACACACACACACACAGAGACACTCACTCCCTGCAGAGCTCATTTCACAGGCCTAGAGGATTTTGTATTTTATTATATATGTTGCATTGTTGGAGGAGCTCAGGTCCGAAGAATTTCATTGCCATTTCTACACTGTAGCTTATGTGCATATGACAATGTATGAGCTTCTTTCAATGTATAACGTTATTTCCTGCAGGTATCGGGGCGGACGAGGTGCAGCCGTTCAGCATGAGCCTGGAGGCGGAGATGATGTTGGAGCACCTGAAGGAGCAACACCTGCAGGAGATCGAGGAGCTGCAGAGCCAGCTGGAGTGCAAGGTATAGAAAATATGTATTTATAAAAATGTGTATGCGTGTTATTGATTTAAAAACTACAACAACAAAAAAATCTCCATTTTGAGAAAAAAATTCAGGATTTTTGAGGGAAAAAATTGTACATTCTGAAAAAATCAGATTTTTGAGAAAAAAATGTACATTCTGAAAAAATACAAGATTCTGAGAAAGTAAGGATTCTGAAAATAAAATAAAATTCTGGAACAAATGTAAGAATTGTGAGAAAACAAAGCCCAAGTCTGCCAAAAAATAAGATCTTAAAAAAAAAACATTCGGAGAAAAAAGTCAGAATTTTTGAAAGAGATGTGTCCCGCCCTTTAGTTTAAGATTTGAAATTCAGAAAAAAAAAGTCAAAATGTTTTTCTCCCCTCAGATGAATGAGTTTGATGAGATGCTGGTGAAGAAGAAGGAGGCGCAGGAGGAGCAGACGGCGTCTCTAGCACTGCAGCACCAGCAGGAGGTGGAGGCTCTGAGGGAGGAGATGCTCGGCGTCCAGAAGAAAACACAGGAGCTTCAGATCCGATTGGAGGAGGAGATCTCCACCCTTCAGAGGAGGCTCAACGAGGAGAAAGAGGAGATGGACGTCCTGCAGGAGGAGCAGCTCACAGCGCTCAGGCAGCAGCTGCAGGAGGCACACTCCTACGCTGCTGACCTGGAGGAGCAGATCAACACCAACATGGACGAGGACGCTGTGGAGGAGCTGAGGAAGCAACAGGAGGAGGAGATAAAGAAACTGCAGGAGGAGCAGGTGGAGCTTTCTGACGTCAGATTAGAGGAGGAGAGGAGGAAGCAACGGGAGGAGAGGAGGTGGCTAAAGGACTTTGAAAATGAGAAGGAGCTGCTGCAAGAAAGACATACAGAAGAGCTGAAGGTCAGATTAGAGGAGGCGAAGGTGAGGTTTGAGGAGGAGCAGGTGCAGCTCTCTGAGGCCAAGCGAGAGGAGGTGACGAGGAGGCTGCAGGAGGAGTTTGAGAAGGAGAAGGAGGCGTTACAAGAAAGACACAAAGAGGAGGTGAAGGTGCGACTAGAGGAGGTGAAGGTGACGTTTGAAGAGGAGAAGGTGCAGCTGGAGGAGCAGAGCAATGAGTCCCTGCAGGTGGTGCTGGAGGAGGAGGTGTTGAGGCTGGTGAGGGAGCAGCAGGAGAAGGAGGCTGAGCTCAGGATGCATTGGGAGGAGGAGACAGTCCGGCTGCAGGAGCTCCACCAGGAGGCCCTGCTGCAGGAGAGGCTGACGCTGCAGGAGCTCCACCAGGAGGCCCAGCTGCAGGAGAGGCTGACGCTGCAGGAGCTCCACCAGGAGGCCCTGCTGCAGGAGAGGCTGACGCTGCAGGGGAGGAGTGAGCAGAGGGAGGCGAGGGTGAGGGAGGAGCTGGAGAGGGAGAGGCTGCAGCTGGAGGAGGACTATGAGGGTATGCTGCAGGAGAGGATGGAGGAGGAGAGGGAGAAGCTGGAGACCCAGAGGGAGGAGGAGGAGAGGAGGGTGGAGGGTCTGATGGAGGAGGAGACGAGTCGTCTGCAGGAGAAACAGCAGCAGGTGATGGAGGAGGAGAGGAGTCGTCTGCAGGAGAAACAGCAGGAGGTGCTGGAGGAGCAGAGGAGTCGTCTGCAGGAGAAACAGCAGGAGGTGCTGGAGGAGCAGAGGAGTCGTCTGCAGGAGAAACAGCAGCAGGTGATGAAGGAGGTGATACTGAGGCACGCTGCAGAGAGGGAGGCGCTCAGCGGGGAGATGGAGGTGCTGAGGAAGGACATCGCTCAGGAGAGGTGAGGGTTTTTATTAAAGTGTCGCCTTTGTTTGTTTTTATCATTGACATTTTCATAGCATCCATTTTAAAGTATCTTGTAAAGTTAACCGTGTGGATATACCAGTTGTAAACAGTCTTAAAAGACACTTGAATGGCAACATATGATGTCCTTAGATCATTTTCAACATTGTGAAAAATCTAAAACATGTGAAGTACGCTTTTATTATTCAAGGTTCAAGGTTCTTCATTGTTAAACTAACATAGCTAATTATGTCGTTGACAATCTTAGGTCACAGGCTTCTCCAACAATGCAACACAATAATACAGATAAGCAGACAATATTAAAACAATATTAAAGTATATTATATTCAAAGTAATACAAAAAAGAAAAATAGTTTTTAAAAAAGTATTTTATTGTTTAATCTAGAAATATTTTATTTATTATTTACCTCCATCATAAACGTCTTGTAGATTAGTATTAAAGGTCACCTATCATGCTATTTGTAGGCAATAGCATAGGTCTCAGATATATAAAAATATATAAAAAACATGTCTATGAAGTGTTTTGCTCAAAATACCAAACAGATCACCCATTCTAGCCATGCCTCATATCCCTCTATTTCACTTCCTGTTTCAAAAGTGCTGATTTTGGGATAAAGCTTTAATAAAAAATAAAAAGGAGGGGTCTGAGCTCATGCGGGACCCGGCAGCTACTGTCTAAACTAAATGCTGCCGTGATGAAACGCCATATCATGGATTATCAAAGATTCTCTCTGAAACAGTTTGGAGCTCAAAGGCTTTCTCTCTTGCCGGTTATACCACAAGGTGAGTTCCTTTTTACTTCCTGCTTCTTCACACACATGCTCTCCAGTACAGGTTAGCTCTGAGTGTTAGCGATGCTAATGTAAACACCGACCATATTACGTCCAAAACAGTCGGGCATTGTTTCTGATAGCAACGTTTCTGATTGGGCCGTGGGTCGACATTTCAGATATTACGTCATATCGGACGCAAATCTGGATCAGCTCCGTTGTTCCCCGTTTTTAGAGATTTGGGTACGGAGGAAAAGAGAGAGGGTTTTATTTTCTGACGCTGCGTGAGTTCTCTGACACACCGGGGACACATGTTTAGGTATACAAGACATCACAAAGGGCATTTTGCATGATGGGTCCCCTTTAACAAAAGTCCTATATCTAACTTGCCTTAAGATGTAGGAACCTTAAAATATGAATTGCCTTCTCCCTAACTTGCATTCTTTTTTTTAGGGTTCCACAATTAATAGCAACATGAACTAGTGCAATATTCAAGTTGCAGTAAGCGCATTATTTGGCAAAAAGGGCAAAATATGTGTACACTTATTTCAAATGTATGTTCAAAACACACAATAGCACATGGCACCTTATACTAGAGTTGGGTGATCTTTTTTCCAATTCAGCAGCTGGTTACTGTTCAATAACAAACACAATATAGGGCTGCTCAATTAATCGTATTTTAATCGAAATTACGATTTTGGCTTGCAACGATTATGAAAATAACATAATCGAAATAAAACGATTATTTATTTTATTTTTTAATTATTTTTTTTATTGGTTTTTCAGTTGAATTATACTTAAAGTTCAGGGTAATCAACTGTTAAAAACATACTGTTCACATTTTCTTTTTCAATAAATGGATGTTTTCAAAGTAAATGGATAATCGATTTTAATAATCATGATATCAATTATTGACCAAAATAATCGAGATTATGATTTTTGCCATAATCGAGCAGCCCTAACACAATATTTAGCCGGGCCGAAATTAATGCAAAAATGTATGATTTGTGAATTGTATTTACCGATGGCAGTCTAGAAGAAAAATACCCATGTTAGGCCAAATAATATGTGACATCCTTTTAAAAAAGTCCTCAGTTTTCTATAACTTGTTGTGCTAATAAGACATGTTGTGACACTCATTAACCGCGCACAGGAGGGACATCGAGATGAGCTTCAACAGGAGACTGCAGGAAGTGCAAAGTCGTTTCTCAGGCGATCAAGAATCTGTCGCCGAGCGTTTTCAGACAGACGTTTTAAAAATGGAGCAGAGCAACCAGGAGGAGCTGAAGAGCCTCTCTGATAAGCAGCGGGAGCAGGAGCTCTGCTGGGAGGAGAAGATCCAGGAGGTCCTCGTTAATGCTGAGGAGCAGAGGAGGAAGATGGAGGAGGACGAGCAACGAGAGAAAGAAAGGTGGGATAAAGAACGAGAAGAGATGGAGCTTCTTCACAAACGGGAAGTGGAGGAACTTGGGGTGAAAAACGAGCAGCTGCAAAAGGAGCTAGATTATTTAATAAGTGAGGCTCAGACTAAAGAGTTAGCGCTGAGTAAGCAACTCAACGACCTCCACACCCGCCTCCAAGGAAGTCTGGAAACTAAGGACTCGCTCCTCGCTCTCGCTGAGCAGAAGGCGCTGGATTCTGAGTTCCTCCTGAACCAAACCGTGCAGGACTTCAAACACGAGAGGGAGGAGCTCTTAAACATCCAGACAGAGCTTGAGGTGAAACACAACGAGACGCTCTCCATGTCTGCGCGGCATATCGAGGAGAGGATCGAGCTGCTGATGGAGCGAGACGATCTGAGGGGGAAGATTGAGGAGCTGGAGGCGCTGCTCAAACAGGCGGCCGAAGACTTTGAGCTGGAGAGGAAGGAGCTGCGGGAGAATCTGGGAGAGACTGGAGATATTCACGCCGAAAGAGATTCTGAAAATGTTGAGGAAAAGAGTGATAATGAAGTTGAAAGCATGCCGGAAGTAAATCAGGTTGCTGCTTCTGAAGATTACAGACAAGAGGATTTAAACTCTGAGAAAGTGGGTTGGTGTTCTGCAGAAATTGGACAAGAAGACCCTGAATTAACATCCTCAGAAAGCCCAGATACGCCACATAATTCAGATGTCGAATCCGAAGAGGAAGCTGTTCCCCGAGAGATGTCGTGTGAACAGGTCTCGTCCCTGAAGGCGTTTGGGGGTGAAGATTGTGAGAAAGTAGGAGCACCATGTGACGAGGAGAACAAACCTCAAGATGTCTCTGAAATCCTTTCTCATGAAGGAGAGGAGCTGAAGCATGAGACTGTGGTCGAGTCGGAGGAGACGGACGAACTGCAGGACGTTGACGAACTGCGGGACGTTGACGAACTGCGGGACGTTGACGAACTGCAGGACGTTGACGAACTGCAGGACGTTGACGAACTGCAGGACGCTGACGAACTGCAGGACGTTGACGAACTGCAGGACGCTGACGAACTGCAGGACGCTGACGAACTGCAGGACGCTGACGAACTGCAGGACGCTGACGAACTGCAGGACCCTGACGAACTGCAGGACGCTGAGGTTCACTATCTACCAGATGAGTCAGACTGGGAACATGTAACCACTGAACCACCGGACGACTGCGCACATGATTCAGACGCTGATTGTGCAGAGGTCAAGGATCGTTCGCTCCTCAAACTGCAAGCTTTGTACAGCACCGTGACGGAGGAGAACACCTTGCTGCAGGACAAGGTGTTCCTGCTGCAGCAGAAGACAGAACTACTGGAGAATCTCCTGCTTTATAACTCAGAGAAAGTCAAAAACGGCCACCAGGTGTTGGAGGAAACCTACGGCCTGAAAGTGAAGGTGTTGCTGTTAATGGAGCACGTGAAGGCGCTGGAGACGAAGGCCTTCAAGATGACACTCCTGCAGATTCAATTTGACGATTGCATGTGTGAGAACGGCAAACTGAAGCAGCAGAATGCAGAGCTTGAGAAGAGAGTGTGGAGTCGTCTGGAAAGTGACAGTGATTTCCAGGAGAAAGAGAGTTTATCCCAGTTTTTCTGTGAGTTTGAGAAGCAGCAGGAGGAGGAGGAGGAGGAGGGTTCCTCAGAGGACGATCTGCAGGACAGCTGTGAGGAGTTTGAGATGCGCAACAGCAAACTCCGCAGAGCCATCACAGATCTGCAGGACAGGTCGCTGACGTTAAATAAATCCACTCAGGCTCATAGGTAACACGGAGATAAATAGAACAGTAGGACCCCGTCCCGTCCCGCTGTGGCTCCTCGTTTCCCGTCCGTTCCGATTTTAAAAGCGCTTCTCCTTCCGTTCCCAAGCACCTTGCTGTGATTAGGCTCCTAAGTCCTGCAGATGTTGACCATTTGTGCATCTGTTATCCCTGTAGGTCACCAGAGGACTTGCAAAACCAATGCAAGTGTGTGAATGTTTGTGAATCGTAGAATCGTAGGCTTTTAAATGAGTGGTCGACTGATAACGTTTCTCGATACTCGTTGCCGATATTCAAAATATAATAATGCTTATATATTGTTGTTGTTTTTGCATCTGATGAAATGTAACATGTTCAATTTCCCAGAGTGCCACAGTGACGCGTCCTAAAACCCGGAAGTAAACTCCTTCCGGTTCCTTCGTCAAACACCAATGCAGTTTCTCCATAGGATTTTGGAAAATAGCTGGAAATCAGGTCTGTGGTTGAAACACATTGAAGAGACGGATCACGTTTTGTTCAGCCGGATAATCTCCACATGTCTATCCTACTTTTATAATGTTCTAATCATAAATCTAGTCGCCAGAAGCAAAATGCTAACGTTATGCTATAAACGAACTACAGCAGGGTCGCTGCTTCAACGTCACGCCAACTTAAGATCCATATTCAAACATACAGATTCTAAATGGTTCAAGTTGAAGCGTTTGTTTTAACAGTTAGCAGGAGGCAGGTACTTGCTCTCAAGCAGAACAGAAACTAACTTAGAGAAGTGTTTACGTGTTCGGTGTAATGACGTAAAACGACCTTGACAACTTCTGTAGTCCTATTCAGCCACTTGTTAACAACCATCGTTTTTCAGACACGTCAACTCTTCAGAAATCACCAGTGGGGTCACTGCTGATGGATTTAATGTGGTAGAACAAAACGTGATCCGTCTCTTCAATGTGTCTCAACCACAGACCTTAGTTCCAGCCAAAATCCTATGGAGAAATTGCATTGCTTTTTGTCGAAGGAACCGGAAGAGGTAAAATGCTACTTACTTCCGGGTTTTAGGACGCGTCACTGTGGCGCTCTATTGAATACAGAAAACAAAGCTATCCAGATATAAAAGTTGGCAATATCAGGAAAGAATATTTTGGACATGTTGCCGAGCACAAGTCCAGAGATTTTGAAGAAACTAAAATTGTAAGAATAACATTTTTAGTTTTAATGCAATTTAACAACGGCAATAATCAGCATCTCCTGGTTTCTGAGAGACTATAAAAATGTGCAAGTTGCATAAATAATCATCCATCATCTCAAAATGGAGTTAATCGGTCGGTCACTAATTTAAATGAATATCCAGTAATGTCATACAACTGAGTTTTAAATGTTTTCTCTGTTACAGTTATGGGTGAGCTTTAGTTTCTTGTGTTGTAACATATTTGTGTGCGTCTGTAGATCTGAAGCCGGTCGCCTCTCTGAGGAAAACGGGGTCCTGCGTCAGAAGATCGCTGCGCTGAAGGACGAGGATTTAAAAGAAGTCCAGGAAGAGTTAAAGTAAGAAGCAACATTTTCGTTTGAACTCATATTTGATATTTACCCGTTTGCATCGTTGTGAAATTACACTTTCTTCTCATGTTTGATTTTAGACAAACAATGGAGCACTTAAACAAAGGGAAGACTGAAGCTCAAACTGCAGCGGAGGCTTTCCAGAGACGGGTATGAAAATGATCAAAACAAGAGTTTGCATGAAGAATGAATACAAATTATCAAAAATGTTCTTAATTGGAATAACTTGAATAAATAATTTGTCTACATTTTAAATAAATATTAAGATTGTATATTATTGGACTTTTTTATACATACTCTAATTTATATGTTTATTTCTTATTTCTTTTCAGATTTTTCACTATTTTTATTTATTTAGATTTTCTTTTGAATTACATTTTAAAGTTAAAAAAAATACTGTAAACAATATATTTATTTGTATATTATTTACTAAATGTATTTAGATTTTTTAAACTTTTTTTATTTGACTATTAATTTGTACTAAATGTATTTATATATTTGTATTTATTTGTTATTTCATTTTAGTCGGTTGAATTACATTTTAAAGTTCAAGAAAAGACAAAAAAAATCAACAAATGCATTTCAGTTATCGCAAAAAATGATTAGATCTCAATACTGACCTTTTAATAATAATAATAATAACTCTTAGATGCCCGAGTGACTGGACCCTAGGGACCTCTTCCATAAGTGGGTCAAAAAGGACCCGTATTAGAATAATGTGTTTTTATGCCATTTTTGTCATGTTGGTTAAGAAAAATCACTTCTATAATATTTTGTATTATATTTTGGTTCACACTAGAAATATTTTATATTTAACTTTACACTATTTATAATTTTAGAAACAAAAATTACATTTTGAAAAAAGCAAAATAGAAAATGCATGCGAGTCATTTTTGACCCACTTATGGAAGCTTGGGGTAGTAATACAAAAACTACAATTTCTTAAAATGTAAATTTTAAATTTGAACGGTATGATATCCAAAACATGTTTTTTGAGGAATAGCTGGAATATGAAATGATAAAAAAATTACAAAGATACTTCAAGAAAACCACCTCACCGCCGGGTCAAAAAAGACCCACTTATGCATCTAAGGCAGTGTTTCTCAAACTTGTTCATACCAAGGACCACTTAACCAATAAAAAAACACTCGCGGACCACCTAACCAGATTACAAATCGCCTGAAAATGGTACAAACAAGTGGCAACATGTGTGATGAAGGTGTTGTGCTGGGCTATACCATACAATCGAAAGTGAAACTTAAGCTCGCTCCATTGCGGAGATATTCCCGCGAGAGTGCGGAAAGCTTTAATTTATTAATTTATTTAAAATGTGAAATTGTACCAATATACTCACGGACCACACTTTGAGAAGCACTGATCTAAGGGAAGGCAAGTTTATTTATATAGCACCTTTCAACACAAGGCAATTCAAAGTGCTTTACAAAAATGAAAGACATTAAGAGCATACAGAAAAACATATTATAAAATGGCATTTAAAGAAGATAATAAAACATGAATAACAAAGGTACATGAATTAAAGTGACTGTGCAGTGTGAGATACACGCATCTGAAATGTTTAGCTCTGACTCTCAATCATTTCTAACTGTTTAGCAGAAATATTTTTCACTTTCTTTCTACTTTCTTTGTATCTTAAGTGTTTAATGCTAAACGAACCCCCCTTTGGAAAATGTTAATCTGCAACCCAATATTCCGAAAATTCAACGGATCCTGGCCGTATTTGTGTAGCATATAAATTTAGTTTTGGACCCCATCTGTAACCCCAATGCAGGACTTTAACCACCTGCAGGGGGACTTTATAATATAGCATGTTAAGTCTGTTAATTAACCCTCTATGTATTTCCCCCCCTGCAGATTTCGGAGCTGCGTTCCCAGAGCCGGCAGCTGGAGGAGCAGAACGGGAACCTGTCGGAGAAAAACTCCCAGAACCTTTCAGACGTGGAGAATCTTCAGCAGCAGCTCTCAGACCTGCTGGAGGAGAGCCAGAGGAGGGAGGCGTTCACTGCCCACGAGAAAAACAAGGTAAACACAGCTCTGTAACACACTGCTTAACGTGATGTGTTGTGGGTCGTAGTGTGTAGTTAATGTGTGTTTTGTGTTAGTTGGCAGGGTGTGTGTGTGCTCTGGAGTCAGAGCTCACCAAAGCTCTGCAGGACTCTGCACAGCTGCAGCAGGCCGTCTCCCAGCATGCACTGCAGCTCTGTGAACTCAGAGACCAGGTGAGCATCAGGCTAATCCTGAAGCTAATGCTACATCGTCAATATTTATGTAACTGATTATTTCCCTGTAGGATCCTTTTTATAATGAAGAAACAAACTTTTAGTGGACGTACATTGATGAAGGATTACATTTCATCACTCTTACTCAATAGTGGACCAATTTCCCCGTAAATGTCCCTGTTGCTGGACAAATGAACACATTCTGATTTCCCATTAGTCACTAAAACACTCAGAAAATAGGGTCCAGGTTAAACAAAAAAACGAAATGTTCCCCGTCAGATCTGTAATGTGTTGTGCTGAGATAGTGTGGTGTGGTCTGGCTTTAGCAGTGAAGGTGATCATAAAGTATTTCTGGTCCTCAGGCGGACAGAGTGGACTCCTTGGAGAGTTTGGAGAAGGAGGCTCAGGTCCAGCTGTCTGCAGCTCAGGAGAAGGTGAGAGTCTGCTGCAACATAAAGTCATGTTTAGTATTATTTCAGTACGTGTGTTTCACAGGAGCTTTCATCCTTATTAAACTGATGTATAACTGTGGTAGCCCGTGAACAAGTTAAAGCCTCAATGAGAAGGATTTGTACGTTGCTCCCTTTGGAATGAGCCACGTCCTCTTGGCATTTCCCTCTATAATCAAGTTTTTTTACATTGTTTTCCATTTTTATAGCTTCCTCTCGGTTCTAAGCATATTCCATGTCCATGGTGCAGAATACACAAACTCTACTTTTAAAATATTATTGTGGGCATTTGAAGCATAAAGCATAAAGAAGTCCTGAGTAGGCAAAGATTATTTGCATGACTTTAATAAATAGACATTTTATTTATTGGGATAAACCCCTTGAGATGCACCATCTCGTTTTCAAGGGGGTCCCGACAATACAACAACTTACAGACATACATAGACAAAAAGCAAAACAAGACAAACCACGTACAGTCTGTTAAGTACAATTCAAGTAATACATACAATCATTACAATTTGAGACAGTCGAGCAAATCAGTTTCATCAATAACAGTTAATAACAAGTGCAGACCAGTTGAAAGTGAGATGAGAATGCATGTTTAAACATACCCAAGGATGCAAGAGATCTAATAGCAGCAGGTCAAGTATTCCAGTCTGTTGGGGCTTTGAACACGAACGCTCTTCTGCCAAGAGGGGACAGAGAAATAAATCTGGACAGTGTCTAACTTGATGATTTGGGGAGTAGGGTACAAAATACTGAGGGGATAGTTAAGATAAATGCATTTAAATATCAGCTGGAGCCAATGCGTGTGTCTTCTTACATTTAATGAAGGCCATTTCAGTTGGTTATACATTGTGCAGTGATGTGTACGAAAAGGACAACCAAGAACAAATCTGCATAGTCTCTTGTAGGCTATGTTGAGTGGAGCAAGATCTGATTTATGTGCATTTTATCCATTTATATCCAATGGATTTTTATCCATTCCTCTCCCCCTGCAGAAGGTGAAGCATAACAGCGTCCGTCTGAAGTCTGACGTCCGTCACCTGCAGAAGGAGAGAGACTCCCTCAAACAGGAAGTCAGCGTGCTGCACAAACAGCTGCAGAACAGCAACGAAAAGGTACCATTTTAATAAATAAGTTCACCACTGACAGAGATACATCAGAATACCTTTAGTAGTCCCACAGAGGGGAAATGTACGTTGTTACAGCAGAAAAGAGCCAAAGACAGCTTAATGTTACGTAGAAGCATGCATACAAAAGTATTAAAGTTATAATACAATGAAAAATAAAATAAAAAGTTACACAATTTACAAAATACACATCCTGTAACAGTTCTGAGGCAGCCAGTTATTAACGGCATATATATTGCACATATAGCACATAGTTGGTTGGTATGTAACAGCAAGGGGTGTTATAGTCTGTGTTGTTGTTTGTTTTTGGGGGGGGGGGTCTACATAATCCAGATTAACAATTTGGCAGAATATTAGCACACATGCAGCATGAGTACATGAAACATACACGATTCCAAATGGGTAAAAAAGACAAGTGGGAAAAGTATGATTCAGCTGCCGTTCTCTTGCAGGATACTTGATGTTTTCCCTGTTTATCTGCCCTCAGAACCAGGTGCTGGAGATGGCGCTGCACTCGAGCGGCGTTCAGAGCCGCAGCAGGAAGCTCTTCAGGGAGGAGATGTCTCGTCTGCTGCAGCAGGAGCAGACGCTGCTGAAGGGAGAGAACCAGCGGCTGCAGACGGAGCTGCGCAGCGCCAAAGGAGAGCTGCGCAGCTCCAGAGACAAGGTGAGGGACGATAATGAATCAGAAACAGGTTTATCACCAGGTCGGTTGACACGTACGAGGAATTTCACTTTGTGCACCACAAAGTGAAATTCCTCGTGAAAATATGAAAGTAAAAAAAAAACACAGATAGCGAACTATTTTAAGAACACTATAATAACATTACGAAAAAAATAAGAACATTTTTTTAAAATATAAAATAAACATTGAAATAGAGTGCAATAAAATATCAAATGTGAGAGATGTACACAGCTCTGGATGAAATGGGAGGAGACCACTGCGGAAATGTCACTTTCTTTGCATAAAAATGTTTAAACGGATAGCGAACCATTTTCAGAACACTATAATAACATTACAAAAAAATAAGAAAAAATATAGGGGAACATCATTTAGACTAAATAGACCTAGAACACATTTCTGACAAGTAACCCCCCCTAGTGTCAAATATCTGAAATGTGACATATATGTCCCATTGGGCTTTAATGGTAAAATAACTCTTATTTTTAACTTAATTAATGAGCATGATTTCTTGGTTTAAATTAGTTTGAACATTCTTTGAATTGAAGAATAAAGAATATATTAACTAAATATAATTGAATCAGCTAAATTAACTGAGCAGATCAGAATCATATTTCTGATTGTGCATATATGTCACTCCGGGTTTACTGTGAAGGTTTAGAGTTAAAGTCCCGATGTGACACCAGGGTCACAGCGATGTTTGTCTCATTTGTTTCATATCAATTTGATCAATACATGTTTCCACAACAGGTTAAATGTAATAAAGGACATGTTGTTTCTGTATCTCATCTCATCGTGTCTTACCTTATTGTTTCTGTATCTCATCTCATCGTGTCTTACCTTATTGTTTCTGTATCTCATCTCATCGTGTCTTACCTTATTGTTTCTGTATCTCATCTCATCGTGTCTTATCTTATTGTTTCTGTGTCTTATCTCATCGTGTCTTATCTTATTGTTTCTGTATCTTATCTCCTCTCCTGTGTGCAGGTGTGTGAGCTGGACGCCTCCCTGCTCTCCCTGGAGGCTCTGCAGCAGGAGAACGTCTGTCTGAAGCAGCAGCTGGAGACACACCGGGTCATCAACACGGTACAATAGCCTTAGATCTATCCTCTAAACATGCTTAATATCTGTGTGGGTTCTAATTTCCTGTGCTGCGTGTTTCAGGGCTCTGCAGCAGCACCCTCTCTCTCAGATCCTGAGGCTCTGCAGAAGGAGAACGAGGCTCTCAGGACTCAGGTGGCTCGACTGTCCGCTCAGATGATCGAGGTAAAACCCTTTCAGCCTCTTCATTCACGGTTGTAATGCCTCCACACCAGCCTTTGCTTGAGGAATACGGTTCTCTCGGGCTGTCTGTCTTCAATTTTGAAGCAATTTAATCATTTCCAGAAGAATCAGTAACAAAACTATTTTTACTGCAGGTGTTTGTTGTTGTTAACTATGAGGAACCTGATTTCCACCTACTTTTGCCAGGTTTATATTTGAAGAATGGATTTGAATTGATTTTTATTGGATACTTCCTACATTTTATTTTCTAAGCGTCTTCTAATTGTGTGTGTGTGTGTGTTTTACCATCCTTGTGGGGACCTACATCTGTGTACACAGTCACGTGTGGGGACTCGCCCCCCTTATGGGGACATAATGGAGGTCATTCATTTTAGGGTGAAGACTTGGTTAGGGTTAGGCATGTGTTGGTTATGGTTAAGGTTAGGTGAAGTCTCCAGGAAATGAATGTAAGTCAATGTAATGTCCCCTGAAGTGATGTATACATTGTGTGTGTGTGCAGTCATTTCAGGCTCAGCTGGTGGGTCTGCTGCCTCTGTCTCCTCACAGGATCCCCAGAGGAAATCACAGAGGGGAGGAGCCGGACAACATGCAGGTACACAAACACACACACACACACACCTGCACTACACCTACAGTATATTACTATTGTTTTGTTTAATAATCTTTAAAAAGTCTATGTTCGTAAATTCATAGGGCTTTACATTTTCCTCCATATCTCTGACAGCATAACACAAATTGGTATTTCATTCATAAAACTAAATATCCTAAATGTGCGCTGCAGAAACCGTGTACTTGAGGAACGCATTATCATTTTGAGTGTACATTTTTCCTGAATCTTCTTTAAAATATTATTTAGAGCATAAACTCTGCGTTTGAGCATCTCTGCACGGTGTGTTGATTTCACTTTCATCTCCTCGACTTCCCTCACTGGTCATTTTTCTTTTGTCACGTGTAAATTCAGCATAACTGGATATAAGATGGGAGCTATCACTACATCTCATGGTGGAAAAGGGAGATATGGGAACTGTTGTATTTCTGTCACTCTCACGCTGGTGTCAAATAAATCACTTACTTCAGGTGCTGAGAAATATATATAAATAGCAGAGGCTAAAACTAAATGTAAGGACTTTTTCTGCAAAAAAACCAACTGTATTGGTCATTGCAAATGCCTGAATTTCATATTTAATATCTATTGTACAAGAATAGAAATTGAAGCTGCTTGTTTTTAATTATAAAAATTCTCGAAGGAACTAAAGTGAATCCATGTCTTAAACGATTCCATGTAGGGTCCTTGAAATTGAGGAATGTGAGCCTGGATAATCCTTAAAAAGTCCTTGAATTTAATTAAGAATGTTGTGCATTAATATATTATAAATACATCATTTTGTATTACATTTTTCTGCAGTTCTGATCAAAAGCATCATCTCTAGCACCTGATGATCTGAATGTATCTAGCTCTTATAATCTTATAATCTATGTTTGTGTTAGCGCTGGGTTTGCTTTGCTGCTCGTTTCTCAGATCCACCCGTCTGTCCTCACCTGCTCATCAAGTGTGTGTTTGTGTTGGTGTGTGTGTTTGCTTTCTGGGTTTGGTGTGCGTGTTGTCTTTGCTTCTTTCTTTAACTTTCCTCTTGGGGACTGCAGTGGTGTGATCCTCTGGGTGTTTCTCTCCATTTGTCACGTTACACACTCCTCCGTCTCATCCTAATTAACGGATGTAGTTTGTTCAGGTGTGTTTAAAAACCATCTGATTCATTTATCTGCAGGATAAACACTGATCGTCATCCCCAGTTGTTTACACTAGACATTTAACTATATATTTATACATTTAAGCCATCAAATCTTCCCTTTTGTCACTAGTAGCCTATGTATTCAGTCAGGTTGTATTCCCATAATGCAATTTAGCATTGTAATGGACAAATTGTTATAAATACATCTGAAACACCGGAGCAACAGAATACTTTATGAAGCTTAAAAGAAGCACAATTTAGGACCAGTTAATTAGACGTGGTGCCTCTTTAACTACATACATGTATAGAGTACACACCTGATACAAAGTGGGATATTATGATGCAATTACTTTAGAGCAGGGGTCTTAAACTCAAGGCCCGGGGGCCAAGACTTCATTTTATGTGGCCCCGCAAGAGCTTGCAAAGAATATAATACGTTTATTATACGGTTACATGCCGATTTACAGAAGCAGGTTGCCCATAAAATACATGTCCCACAATGCATCTCGTTTTGTGACATGCGCACTGAAGAGACTTGCAAGTATTTGCCCTGGACTTCTGCTTTCAGACGTAATTAATTACTAAGGTATTATCCTATCCGATAATAATCCAATTCAGAGGCAATAATGTAATACATTATTTTATATATATATATTATATAGTTACAACCGGCTCTTTGAGTGCAACCTTTATGCGAATGTGGCCCGCGATGAAATTTGAGTTTGACACCCCTGCTTTAGAGACATTACTGCAGGAAAAACGTAGTTTAATGATTTATCAATTATTAAAATAATTGCTAAATACTTTATTGATCCCGATTTTGGAAACCATTTTGTTACAGCAGCATGTAAACAAGTTAGCAAGGCATCGCAAAGAATAGAACAATGTACATATTAACAGTGAAAGATGTATATGTATATATATATATATATATATATATATATACAGAATAGTCAACTTACTACTAAATAAATATAACCATTGGATACTTTTTAACTTGTGACAAATCAAAAATGTCAATGCAAAGTGTTAACGCATTATAATCAGAATTCTACACATGACAGGATTATTATTATTAGGTTATTTTAAAACCCTATAGTTGTATATTCTGTCTGTGTATTCACATGATTATTTAAGTAATATTTAACACATTAGTTTAGCTGTTTTAAAGCATGTGTTTTTAGTTTTAGTTGCGTGTTTTAGCGAGGCTGGAGCGTTGGTGAAGTTTGCTGCTTCTCTCTGCAGGCGCCGGTCCAGGATCAGAGGGTCGCTCACTCTGACAGCTACCGGAGGATCGGAGGACTCTAACAGCGCCGTCTTCCTCCTCCTCTTCTTCCTCTTCCTCCCTCTTTTTACTGCTGCTCTTCCTCCATTCTGCTCCTCTTCCTCTGCTGTGTGGCTGCTTCTTTATGGGAGACTGTGATCAGATGTGCTGCCTGATTTAAAGGCTGAATGTGTAATTGTTTTTCTCCGCTGCTAGGTGGCAGGAAAACACAGAAAAAGGTGGAAATAGGAAGTTTTCCCCAATGGGAATTATGATGGAAATGATAGTGACATTTTTAAAGTTTGAAGGACAAGCCATATGAAATGTATACGGAAGCCCTGAGAGGCAAGTGAAGAAAAAACACTGATTATGATTTCGGAAAAGGTGGTAATACATACATACAAATAAAATCAAGTAAAAATGTTCTCAAACCAGTGAAGTGAAAAAAGGTTTTTGCTGGTAATGTATTTATTTGTTGTCGTTTTTTTGGGAAGCCATGAACGGGAATATTTCAAAGATATTTCGTTCCTCCATTTTCTGCATTATAACGGGTTAGTTGTGACGAAAGAGATAATGATGTAATGAATTTGTGAAATATAAATTCAACATCATACTCTAAAAAATTATAATAATGGAGAAAACAGTTTTCATGAGAAAACAGCAGGGAATTTTTTTTTTTTTTGGCCATTTTTGCTTTCCGCAGTTTGCATCCCAATTAAACACAAATAAAAAAATAGGTTCCTTAAAAAATCAATATATACATTTTAGAATATATCTATTTTGCCGGGAAGATTTCACTACTTAATTATTATTCCATCTTAAAAAGAATTAAGTGTATGATCCATTTTTTTATCAGGATCAGTTTGATGATTTTGATGAAAATTCTCACATTTTTTGTTCACGTTATTTAGGTCATAACATTTAAAAATACAATGTAAATAAATCCTCACTTGCCTCATGAAACATCAGTTGTTTCTGGACTTTTAACTTTTTATACTCAATCCTAAAATACTATGTAGTTTGAATACAGGGAATGGTTTTTAACGCAGGGTGAATTTTGTTTAAATGCACTTGAACCGTTTATTCTGAGACAGGGTCTTTTTATTCAAATAAATCCTCAGAGGCTGAATGTTTTTCTTTGCCTTGCGATCATCGAGGAGCCTTTTCTAACAATCAAACTAATCTGTAAAAATCACGAAGCGTCACTCTGTGTCCACGATGAGATTTATTCATTAATTGTATTTTATTATTAATGCCTGTAATTGTTATTTTATTGTACACATACTACCTGATTCTGCTGCACAACCAAAGTGAACCACAGCTTCCTAAGTTATTATTTGTACTGTTTAAACACAAATAATGAATGTTTATCTGGTATTTATTATTATTATAAATGATTGTTTGTCCCCAGTAGTGATTTATAAATGTGTTGCTTTTGCACCAAATGTATTTTATCTTTATTTTGTTATTTATTTTTGATAGAATTCTCATTAAATGTATTTTATTTATTGTATGATTTAAATTATTTTTTCGTAGAGGTATCTGGAATACATGGCATAATTTTCTACCTAATTATATTAATGCTGAAATGAAGATAAATAAAGTTTTAGCTTGTTAGAAAATGATCTGCTTGTTCGTTTTATTTTCTCACACATCAACTCAAAATGGAATCAAATGAATATTTCATTCATATCCTCGTGTTGATATCCCTGACTGTCCCAGCAGGATGAGAGGCAGAGGAAGGTGAAGATCATGGAGGAGAGAATGAGGGAAATCGAGCTCTCGCTGAGTAACGTCAAGCTGCTGCTCAGAGAGAAAGTCGCTCAGCTCAAGGAACAGGTCGGTTATATTAAGATTTATAAATGAAATTCATTGTCATTTATTATCCGTCTTTATATTTGTTAGTGTCAGAGATTTATTGCTGTCATTTGTTGCAGCTCTTACTCAAACTGATGATATCATTCATTCAAGCTGTACTTTAATTAGATGAATGATGCTTTTACTAATCGCCAATCCTTTCCTTTCTGTGATGTTTGCAGCTTCATAAAAACGGTAAGGCGGACGTGTTGATCGGAAATCTGTACGATGAGAACGATGTGCTGCTGGAGGTTCTGGAGAAGACCAAGCAGCGGCACATTATTTTAGAGAAGAAGAACTTCCTGCTGGAGGAGAAGATCAGCAGCCTCAACAAGATCATGTGTAACCTGACCCCCCCGCCCTCACTGCCTTACCATTACTAATGCATTCACTACTGAATTGCACTTTTTATAAAGGTGTTATTTTCTCTGTGTGTAATCTGTTCTCTCTGTCCTACTTAAGTCCTTATATGATTACAATGTAAATATATATAAGTATTATGTGAAAGGGAAAAAGATGAGTGAGATAATGTAAACAGAAGAGACCTTTCAGTCTGTTTGTCTTCACATCCTGAATTGTATAAGTGAATGTCAAGTGGCTGTGCTTCCTGTTATTTAAAAACATGTTACTTTTATATGTAAAGCTGTGCAATGAGTTATTTTATTTTTGAATGAAGGACCTTGTCTCGATAATGAAGCACTAAAACTGAAACAGGGTAATGTTTGTTATAAATAAAATACATGCATTATGTCTCCTTTTGATTTCTGTCTGGATTATGTTCTGTCTGGATGTTTTTGTATATGTACTGTGTTTATATTTTACAAGTACTGTGTTTTAATAAAATTGAAGGTACTTTAACATGCTTATTTTTATGTTATCGTACTTGATACTACATTTCAGTTGTATACTTTTTATTTCACTCCACTGCATTTATTTAACAGCTGTAGATACTTGTTTTTTTCACAATATTTTATACATATTCAAATTATATATTACCCGCTTGATCTTGCCCAAATCTACATTACCTTAAAATATTCATGGGTCATTGAAATCCACTACATTTATTTAATACCTTTTTAGTTACTTTACAGAATTTGAATTAATGATGTGAAATATAATCTGAATATAACACTGAAATCAGACTTTAGTTCCACCTGGAGTAAATTCACAAGCTACCCTGCAGTAGACAAAGTCATTAAAACTAGCTGCACATTTCCCAGCTTTGAGAACACTTTCATGATCAATAATTATAAAACATATCTCATATTATTCTGAAATGGACCAATATGGAGAATGAGTCATTTTACTTTTGGTCCTTTAAGTATATTGCGATGCTAATACTTATGTACTTTTACTTGAGTAACATTTTGAATGCAGGACTTTTACTTGTAACAGAGTATTCCTACACTCTGGAGGCTGAGCTCCCTCCAGGGGGGCAGGACTCTGCAGCTCCAGCCCAGGGAGAGGAGGACTCTCTGTGGGTGTGGAGCTTGGATCACAGCGGACCGGACCTCCGTAAGGAAAGGGAGCTAAAAGCTAGCCGGCTAACTGAGCTGCTAGCTAATGTAAAACGCTTTAAAAACATGTTAACTTTCCTTCAAACTGAACGGGACGGTCGCCGGGTCAGAGGGTCTTGCCATGACTTATTTTGTTGTTGTTGATGTTTTTGACCCGAGCCTGGAGTTATGCTCTCTCGAAAGAAAAGTAAAAAAGAAGCGTCGAAACCAGCCGAGGTTCACGGGAAATATGTGAAGAAGGAAACGTCTCCGCTGCTGAGAAGTAAGTAAGCAACAAGTTAGCATGTTAGCTCAACGTTAGCCTGTTACAATTTGGCTTCAGTTAGCTTGTTAGCACAAAGTTTGTACCAATTAGCTTCAAACTTACCACCAGTCAGCCTCTTACTTTAAAGTTAGCGCCATTTAGCCTGCTAGCTCCAACTGTATACCAGTTACGATGTTAGCTCAAAGTTGGCATTAATAAGCCGGTTAGTTCAGCGCTAGCATCAGTTAGCACGATAGCTCAAAGTTAGGACCTGTCACTAGCTTTTTAGCTCAACGTTAGCATAAATTAGCCCGTAGCTCAAAGTTTCAGACAGAGGGTGAAAAGAGGTGCTGTAGCAAAAGCAGTGAAAGAAAGATTACAAGATCACATTAGCAAACATTTTTGTATGAATAATTTGGAGTAATGCGCCACATTATTTTAATTTTAAAGCTTGTAACAAACTGTTTGTATTTGTGTAAACCGTAAACACATTGATAGGTAAAGTGCTAGCTAGCATCTGCTGGCTGCATTAACGTCAGCTCAGCTGCAGAGTCAGAGGAAAGTCCAGATATTACGTTAATTAAAAAGTTAACACTTTATTTAATTGGTTTGTGCCTGATGCTATTCAGTGCTCATAGTTAAATAAAGTCAGATTTGTAGCTTAAATGTGTCCATTGGTAGAAATGGTACGAGTATTATCATCTGTTAAATTGACTGTTAGTTAATAAAAATGCCTCTAACTGACATTTAATTTGCGTTATGTAGTTAATTATTACCGTACCCATTAGTTGTATCTCTTTGTCACTTATAAGCAGTGGGGCTAGAAGTATAACAACTAGTAATGATACGTACATAATTGAAAGTAAAGGTCCTTCATTCATTAAGAATTTTAAATAAAGTTATATAAAGTCTCAATTAAAAGTATTCAATATTCAGACAGAATAGTCCCGTTTGTGTAATAACGTTCTCATAGATGGTTTTATTATATGTTATGTGATGTACTCTTGGATGGTTAAATATACTCTATAAATAATAAGAGGAGTAAGGAAATATTTAAGTGAAGTACAAGTTGGCATGGTGCAACATAAAAATGTGAGGTCTTGCTTATCCTGAACCAAAATAATTCATAATAGCATCAAGACAATGATCAAAATACTGGGATAACTGGGATAACTCAACCTCCCATTTAGTAAAACAACTAATATTTGTTGTCACAGATGGGACAGTTTTTTTGTAAAAGCATATAAACAATCCTGCAAACATATTCATAATGAAATATGTATATAGTGTATTTCAAACACAGTTATAAGTCAAAGTCAACTTTATTGTTAATCTTTCAGTCTGTGTACAGACAGAGAGATCGAAATACCGTTTCCCACAATCCCGAATACAACCGAATAAAGTGTTTAAAAATAAATAAAAAGTAGCATTTCAGACTTGATCTGACATTAAATTATTGTCGTATCGTTTATTTGTTATTGAATTGACAGGTATATTAACAGTTCCTGTGTCTCCCTACAGATCTGATGCCCTCGTTCATCCGTCATGGCCCCACGATACCCCGACGCACCGAGGTCCCTCTGCCTGACATGGGCCCCTCTTCCTACCCTGTGGCCCCCGTCCGGGAGCCCGTGGTTTCCCGCAACAAGAGCTTCCTCCGGGCCCCGGTGCAGCGGCTCCCCCACGAGGTGGCCCGCCGAGAGAGCCACCGCATGTCGGCCCCCCCCGTACCTGCCCCGCAGTCTGGGGGATCTGCCCCATGAGTACGGGGGCTCCTCGCAGTCCTTCCTCACCGACGTGGGGCTCCTGTCTGAGAATGGAGACGCTGGCCGGTACTACTACCCCCCCGAGCCTTACTACGACCCCCAGCAGCAGCAGCAGCAGCAGCAGCAGCCCCCCCCCAGAAGGGGCCCCGAGCGCTTCCCAGAGGACTATAGATACTATGAGCACAATGAACACAACTTCCAGAGACTTCCACAACAACACACACCCCCGGCTCCAGGGAGACCCCCCTCAGGTAAACATGATTTCACTGGTTTCTTATTCTTTAGGAAGGTAAACAAGAGGGATGGACAGAAATATCTGAGTTAAAGATGTGACAACGATCACAAGAGGGATTCTTGATCTTTGGACGTAAGTAATTTGCATTTATGGTTTATGGATACGAGGACAATATGTGATATTCAAAAACGCTGAATATTGTGATTTACCACGCACATTGACATTGCAGTGGCGTCAAATAATATTGAACTGGTTTTGGAAAAGACTTGGTAGTAAGAAGTGATGACTTTGCATATTGCGATAGAACATATTACTTTTGTAGTAAGTGCAATATCGCTTTCTTTTACTATGAGTTTGTCGTGCAGGTTAGCAAAATAAAACCTGGCTTTTGAGAAATAAAAGTTAAGCAGTTTGTTTGATGAAGAGTAAAATCAAGGCTGCAATTCTACAACTTTTCATATCTGTATTTTTCGAAAAAAGTTAAGAGGAGACTTTGCCAATTTTGGGCTCCTAGAAGGACGTTTTAGTATCCGCACTGATGTGGGCTTGTTATGGATTTGATTATGCACCGTAAATAGACCTCTGTGAAAGGAATGCATGAGGGATGAAATATTTAGCTCTACAACAGCAACACTAGTTTAGTATGATGGACTATTTTCTCACATTTTCCAGTCTAAATGAAAAGGAATTAGCAGATGAGTTGATTGAGTCAAATGTCATATGCGTACAGTATAGTATTTCTTCCAAGGAAATGGCGTTAAATAAAATAAATGCAGTTTAAAATGACATATGTGTAGCGCTTTTTAATAATACTGCCTCACTTAGGTGATCTGGTAATTTCCTTATACTCATTTTAATTAGAAATATAAAAAATAGCTGATAATAATTTTCATCCCATATTTTCAATCGATTATTTACACAATTTTTCGATCGTTTTTTTCATCCACAGCATCAGGAAATTCCTTTTACTTTCTATAACCAGAAACATTCTTTGGATATGTGCTCATTGCAAAAGTACATGGCTTCTGAAAGCGGATACTGCAACGTAAATAACTCTTAACTTCTGGAAGCAGGGAAATGTAAA